TGTAGTTTTCTTCCCCTTGATGCCGAGGCCTGCGCGGATAGTACGGAGGATAAGAATCACCATCGTCGCCACCGTCATGTTGACCGCATGACAATCACCGTCACTATCAGCATAACCGCACAACCATGCCGGTGCTCATGCCGCCGTTGATGTCTGAGGTCAGTACCGTCAGTAGCATGTTAGTGAACTGAAGGTGGCTTCGCCGCTGCTGCCTGCGAGGTGGCCGGAGGTCTGGCCCGGTTGTGTTCTCTTTGGTTGTGACTCCTCTCCTTTAGCCACGTGCCACGGTGTGGCATCAGACATTTATGAACGGCTCTATAAGAGATTTGCTCGCCACAAGCAGCTCTCGCAGCGTCCCTGCCAAACTCTTGGTGGACACAGCAGTTCCTGCTCTCGGCACTGCCTGCCGGCGAATGCAATTCTGCGCATTGGGCTTTGCAAGGTCAACAAACAAAAACAGTTTGATCTACTTACACTCCTTCCTGCATCGTTTCGCCCGCTTTGACCCGCTCATTGCTATCTGCCGAGGCAGTCGGCTTTGAGATTTGGAAACTCGGACTTTCCGGGCTCTCCACGGCCATTACGTGCTGTCGATGGTTATGGCTTGTGTCTGCCACTACTTTGCTTCTTCTCAGTCAGAGTCCGACGGCGGTGTTTCCCTTTCGCACCAAGCTGGCGATCGCCAGGTGCAACGGAATGGCTCGACGACAACCTGCTTGTCAGCTTCGGCACTGGGATGCTGCTGAGAAGCTTTGCCGTAGTCGCGAACTTTGCAGGTTGCTTTGCTCACGCTCAAGATATCTTGCGGATTTAGCACTTCTTCGCGTAATGTGATTTTGCCTAGGCATGAGGGCTTGATGAAAAGTGCAGTCTACAGTTTGGACTGTGTTTGTGGGTGTGTGGAAGTTCTCGTGTCTTGGTGGTATGTTTTCGTAGGCCGCAACCTCCAGCCGGTGCTCTGTGCATGTGCGTTGGTACATCGGAAAACATCTTCATCGCTCTACAGGTTCAATTCAGTCAAGTCATGTCTTTACATTCAGTCTGTCACGACACGTTGCTTACCTAAAGGGTGCTGGAGTTTCTGTGGAACCACTGATCACGGACACAACCCTAAACCCTGAACCCCAAACCCCTAAGCCCCTAAACCCCGGAACCCGAAACCCCTCAAATCCCGCAGCCTGGGCCAGAGCACGATCTTTCCAAAGGGGCGGTGGGGTCCATGCTGTCCAGAGGACCTCGACCTACAATGCGGTCTAGGGTTTAGGGGTTTTGGGGGTTGAGGATTTAGGGTTTAGGGGTGTAGGTTTTTTTTTGAGCTCCTTTTTATGCCTGCCCATCGTTTAGGCTTACATAAGGGCCTTCGGGGTGTAGGGGTTTAGAGTTTAGGGGTTTAGGGGAGGGTACAATGCCTAGGGTTTTTCAAGAGTTCGCGTAGAGTGTAGGATTAAGGGCGTGCCCTAGGCCCCAATAGACTCTGTTCATGTGTGAGCCATGCGCATATGGATTCAACTCAGTGCATCTCTCCAGCTTGGGTTACTCACATTCAGATTAGGATCAGACACTCCGTGAAAACGGTGCGCAACATCTTGCAGCATATGACGTGTCAGGTGATAGGTCATACAACATGTAGTTCACATGCGATCCGTGTGGCAGCTTGTGGGTCGCATCGTAGTGTCAGATCTTATAACAGATCAAACGTCATGTCAAACTGTCAGATCATTTGCACTCTTGTGCTGCGCCAGGCAATGTCATGTTATCTTTGCTTGACACCCGTTGACACCTAGCCTCTGCTCGTGTCCTGTTCTGTCTTTTTCCTGCCCTTCTACCTCCTCCTCGTTGTCCTCTTACTCCTCCCATGCCAAACCAGTACAGCATACCATGTAGAGTTTGGAGACCCTGGTCTGGCGGGTTTTGTGTGTTGTTTTGGGGATATTTGGGGATGATGATACATCATGCTTGGCAAGCCCTTGGCCAGTAGCGTGATGCCCAGGTTTGGAAAGCAAGGCTCTACTGGCTCTGCTGAGTTGAGCAACGACAGCATGTGAGCACATGCACGCCCGTGCAGTCAAGTTTGAGCCGCCTGCTTCGAAGAAGCTTCTGGCTTGGGTTTGCTGCAACCACCGGCATGTGCACTGGCAAAGTCAGAAAAACCCTTGCGGGTGGGGCCTGGGTCTTAGGTGTTTACGGCTTTTGCTGAGTTCCCAGTCGAAAAACCCTCGAGGGTGGTCGTCTCTGGCAGCACCGAGCAGGTGCACACCTTTGCACCTGAAGAAGACTTGCGACTACACTTGCTTCGACCACCCGACGCGCAGTCGCAACAGCCGTGGCCCTGTCAGAGCTTTACAGCCGTTATGCCCAGCTGGAGTGCCAAGGTCGGACAAGCCTGGTTGCATCGTCCTGTTCCATGGCGGGTGCCTTGAGGGAGCCGATAAAAAAGGGTTTCCTCCGCCCTTCGACCATGGTGAAGAAGAGTACATTGGAATCAGCTCTTTGGCGGTAGCGAAAGCGAAGACCTTACCAGGGATTTTGTCACACAAGCTGTTATAGCTGTCCGCTGTCCCTCGTCCCCGATGGCGGGTGTCGTTGCCTTTTGTGTTTTCCGACTTCGTGGACATGTTTGCAGCTACAACCGCTTCTGGTGCAGGTCCTGGATGGTAGGCTCTCCTTCACAGTTCTACAAGCATGCCCAGGCTTTGTTTGCGTGTAGACGAAGGAGAGATGCTGCTGCACTTGGACCTAAGTATCGGCTGCAGACCATCGCGAAAGACCTTGGAGTGGCAGTTGCATGCTGCCAATATCGCCTCTGGTGGCTTGGATAAAGAGCCGGCCTACTCTTGGGGACGCAGGCGGGTTGCGTTGCTTCTGAGCCAAGGCTGACGCATCCTCGAGCAGATGTGCCCTTTGATGCAGTCGACGATGCGCAGCGATGCGTGCGGTATCTGCACAAAGAGGCCTTGAAAGAAGAGAGTCGTATATCTACATTCGGCGACATCTCTGATTTCTGGTATAGGGTTGTGAAGTTCAGCACTTAGAACTAATTGATGCCATTGGACGTTGTCTGGCTTTCCGAGACAACTTGTTGCCGCAGGCCGATACCTTGGGTTTGGACAAGAAGAGGCGCCTCTTTGTCTTATTCTTGCCGCTTCTTGCGGACTCGGACCACGGGTTACACACGGGTTACAAACGAGGAGGCTGCACGAAGAAGGTGCCTGTAGGTCGTAGGTGGCACAGCGAGACATGCGTAGCATCTGCTGCACGAAGTGCCTCCGTGGTTCGCTGCGTTTCATTGCAAGGCTTGTGGTTGGCGGCCTCAGCGCCGGTGGACAGCTTGCTGCCATGACGGCCCTGGAAGCTGGTGAAGAGATCGGTCTCGCAGGCACTCTAACGTGTCCGTTGTCCCTGGCCGCTAGCCTTAAGAGTGCTTGAGAGTGCTCCATTGCACTGAGGGCTTTTGCTCCTGAATCCTGTCCTGGACCTGGACTTCACCGCAGGATGGCGGAGGATTCGGGCGACCGCTTTCCCCACCCCTCACAATCCTGCGCAGAGCCACGCAGACCGAAGCGTCTCGAGGAGAACGCCACTGATTTGGCTGGGCTCGACACTACTTCGTGCACGTTATGGCGAGGACAGATACAGAATGCATATGAGTAACTTTTGGAGACAGCATGTGGTCCAGGAAGCTTTGCATGCCAAGTCGCCGCTTCACCAGGCACACGGTATAGAAAGTCTGCGTAGTTGCGTCGGAATACTTGGCGTGGGATGGCAGGTTCGCAGCCTGCCTTTCCCAACATTGATCCTGCATGGGGAGGAGGACAGGAGGATGCTGCACAAGGTTGATGTGTGTTAAACAGCCGCATGCTCCTTTGGCATGCGAGGATGACATCATTCCTTTGGCGCAGTCAGAGGCATTTGTCTCCGAAATGCAGCGGTCCTGTGCTCAGGCTGCTTGGTACCAGTAGCTTGGCTCGAGACAACCCGCTGATGGCTCTTGCTCCTGTTTGCCTAAGGTCCCACAATGATTGCAAGGTGATTGCATTTCCTGAGGCGCGAGCATGCCTCTTAATGTTTATCGAGTTCGTGTATTGAACGAGAGTTGCTTTTTCACGATTTTGGTCGCTTGGAGGTGAATCATCACTTCCTCCGTGCGAAACCAGAGGTGGCCGAACGCACCGTGCTCGCATGTAACTACACGGCAAGACAGCTTGCATCATGTGTCCCAACATGTTATTCTTTGGCGCGCCTGAGGCCACCTACTCACCGTTGGCAGTTTCTTGCACTCGGCACGTTCCTCAGGGAGTGTTCGATCCATCAGAGTTTTTGCCCAAAGGCCTCATAGAATAGCTGCGACAATTCTGTGGGCAGTGAAGGTCGGGGTTGTGACTGGTCCTGGAGACTGCGCGAAGATGCACTGACTAGAGTTTAATCGTTTTGAAGCGCAGCCTTTTAGCAGAAGGCCAAGGCATCGCAGAGAGCTCTACATGCTCGCTGCAAGTTTCTTGTCTTGCAGCCCTCTGTACCATGTACAAAGAACTGGACTGGAACCCTCCCTCCGAATGAGCGTGCATAGGTCGGCACACATGCGCGCAACCTGGTACAAAACAGTGAGAAGTGCGTCTTTGGCACGGCATATTCTAATGGTTCCGGACAGTGCTGCTTGCAGCTTCTCAAGTATTGCGCCTCCAGTCTGTCTTGCTGGAGTATGTGTACAGCAAGCGCACATATGCATGTTTCAATGAAGTCACAAAACAGGCGCCCAAGGGTCTTTGCAAAGCCGGCTCTTGGAGACAGTTTGAGACGCGAGCCGATGCAAAGAATTTTGCACCAATGCGGCTATTCAGCCTGCTGTTGACTGCAATTCGGTTGTGCCAGCCATTCAGGTCTTATCCAATGTAGATGTACGCTGTACGGTGCAAGTCTGTTCGCTGCATTGGACTTCGGGTGAATGTATGCACTTGAAGGTCAAATAGAGGCAGTTCCAGTCGAGCACTGAGCTTGAGCAGGAGTCCATCGGCAGCGTCGTCAAAGTCGAGGGTCGCACGGTTCACTGGTTTCAGAAGGTCCGTGCCTGCCGTGTTCGCAACCGCCTGGTCGAGATGCACTCGGTCCAAGTCAACATGAAACGGTCAGGGAGACGGCTTCGTGCAGACTAGCCAGCCGGTCACTGTTGCGAGCTGAGCATCACCGGGGCATCGGCAGATCCTCGTAAGTCTTGGCCTAAGGGCTCTTCGAACGCTGCCTCGACGGCTTTCGATTTGGATTCAGCTTTCAGAAGTTCAGATAGGCTGTTGCTGTTGAACAGGCTTCTTTTTGGGCTGTCGAGCTCCTAACAGAGACTTCCAGTTCCGCATCTGACTGCTTCGACGCGCAATCTCAGGGATGATCACCCGTGCTGAGCCTGAGGTCCCGAAGGCCGATTGGGACCTTTTGCCAGCAGACTTTAAAGAAAGACCATGGGAGCCACAGCGACCCACTATGTGAAACCGCAGTTTCGTTCTGCGAGGACATGCACAGCATCAAGTTGTCCACCCATTGTTGTTCGGCAGACCTGAATGTGTCCCCCTGCAGTCCGCGGAAGATCATGTATGGATGTGTGATGGTCTTGCAACAGCAGTGAAATTAACCCTGTGCACCATAGACGCCCAAAAAGCTTTTGATCTGGCACCTGCTTCAACCGCTCTTCGTTCCAACGTGTTCTGCGACAAAACCGGCAGCAAGTCGGTTGAAGTCGGCAGATTTCTGGTGAAGCGCGGCGGAATTTGCTATTCATTCGGTAAGGTCACACCATTGGGTCAGCTGTTCGAGGTCGGCATCCCGGTGGAGAGACAGCCGTGGAAGACTACATGCAAAATGCTACATCGATGTCGGTGTACCGACTGCAGGTCGAAGTTATCAAAGCCGTGAACCTCGGCCGGCAGAGAACTCAGCTTGCAAGCAATCCTCACAGCTTCTGTGCAAAGCCGAGCTGCGTGAGGAAACTTGATTGCGAGCTGGGCTTCTGCATCGGCCTGGGCCCAGAGAGCGGAAAACGCAAGGGTTTTGCATGCCACAGGCAGTGTCAGTTTGCCGCCCTAGTTGAGGCCTTTGCTCCAAACCCCCGCGTGCCAGCGATAAGGCAAAGACGGAGAGACAGGAGTTTCCTTGGCCCCGAGTTGAAATCCTAGGAGCAGTGGCCCTTCTAGAGCAGCACCAGGACTGTTGGATTGCTGGCGGTGACACCTCATTCTATTTGAAAGGGGCCTGGAACGCAGCCTTGATTTCATCCCCATCCGTGCATTTTTGTGAGCCTTGATTTGCTGGCCTCCAGGTGCAACGGCGTGTTGGCAAATCATCGGCGGATGGACAGCAAAAGTGCCCTCTTTCGCCCTTGGCAACGTAACCGATCCCGGCGTCAGTGCAGGTATCTGCACATTGGCAGTGACCTCCATGCAACGGTGCCATTCTGAGCAATGTCTCGTGGACTTGCTTTACCCGCAAGTGTTGTAAGTGCTGCTGTTATCGAGGACAGGGTGGCAATACTGGCAGAGTGGTCGCGACCTTGTACTCGCAAGTCCTTGGTTGTCCCACCTTCTGCAGAAGCGCAGTCGCAGGTCTGGTGCTTTGTCGCTCTTCGTGAATGGCTGCCATGCCATGTTTGCGTGATTTTTGGAGTCTCGTCTGTGCATGCGGGGCTGCTAGGTGAGCAGGTCGGTCGTTACAGCAACGCCATCGACCACTCGGAGGCCACAGATCCTTCAGCGCGGTTTGTAGCTGCAGCAGTGGTCTCCGGAACCGGTTGCTTTCTTCTTGTGACGCGAGCCAGGTGGTGCTGCCCCTCTATGGAGTTGCAGACATTTTCGTGCGAGAGGCCTTGCGACACGACACTTTGCATGTATCACGGGCCACGTTGGCATACGTTGGCCACATGGGCCAAAGGCCGAAGGTGCCGACAGTGAGCAGGAGAGGCGAAGGTCTTGCTGGAACAACTAACTTTCCAAGCTGCAGGCCAGTGAGGAATACACAGTGCGTTCCATTGGCCTGATCGGCGATGAGAGTGAAGGCAGACCTCGCTGAGAGTTGTGGACAGAAGCGCAAACATGCGTGCTCTTGGTCAGATGGCTGGACTGTCCAGAAGGAGCGAATGGAGCGCGCCGCCGTCGAGTCAACTTCCCAGAGGGCATCACTCATGGCCGGAAGATATGTAGGAAGCCAGCAAACTATGGGAGGCTGGCTGGAATTCATCAGCTCCTGCATGGGGAGGCAGCAGTGGCTACGACGTCGCGATCTCATCAAAAGGATTCTTCAAGCTGGTCTCAGTGTCCTGGCTTCGAGGATTGGGCCGTCGTGCGATTTGTATGCATGTGGTCGGCCCGTCATGTGTGTGTGTGCGCCAGTTCCGAGCAAAGTGATGCTGGAGAGAGTGCCAGGTCGCATACTTCTGAGCCTGTTCCGCGGTGGGCCTTGCTGCTTGTTGCTCGCTGATGTGCCGCTGGCGACCAGCCAGGTGGGCGGGAAGTGCTGCCATCATCAAATCTGGACAGGTCCCTCTTTGAGTCTGTGCGCCTTTGAGTCTCCGATTCGCAAGATGTCTACACGACTGAAACCATACAGCTCCGTCGTAGGTTCGCGGTGGCCTACGCGAACTGGGCACAAGCTGGGTGTTGTACTCGGACATTTCCCAAACTTGGCTGTTTTAGCCATAGCGCCAAGAGTAAAAGTATCAGGTGTCCACCGACAGAAAAGAGATACGGTCTACTTTGGGCACTCAAGGACACCGCTGAGGAATTGTGACCTTGCAACTTGATGGCTTTTTGGGGCCAGTGCAGGAGCTTAAGGGCGAAAAAACGGAGCGCAGTGAGGACCCACTGAAACGCAAACTACCCAACATGCTTTTGGTGCAAGTTCAGCACTTCAGGACCTAGCTCAGGTGGAGAAGACTGAGGTTAGACTTGTCGTGTCTCGCTGCATAAAGCGCTCCAGGCAAGGCATCCCACTTGCCTGCTGCTATGGCGATGCTTGAGCTGCAGCGCAGACTCTTCGAAAGGTACTCTCGCCTCGGCAGTTGCTGGGAAGCCGCGGAGATGTTGGCCTCTGCCTCTTCGTGGTTCGAGCCCCATGGTCTGTCCAGCGGTGTCAGCATGGCTTGGTAGAACTTTTACCGAAGCCGCCAGACGGGCGTGGAGCTTCGGCTTATCTTCGATCATCGTGAACTATCCAAGTCACGCCAGCTGTCAAGGCTGAGCATGTCCGACGACTTCATGAAGTCCCATTTGGATGCTGTCCAGCAGGTAGGGCGCTCTCGCTGCCTTGCTCTTCGGATGCGTGAGTGGAGCAAGTGGAGGCAAAGCGGTCCGGTCTGCTGGATACACACTACTCGCTTGCCCAAGAGCTCTACGAGCAGGCGGCGGTCTGCGGCTAGTAACGGCTGCTAGCGCCACAGACCGGGCTGAGCTGACCCTTCGGATTGGCGCTACAGGAGAGGAAACTGTCAGGGGAGAGTCTTCTCAATCGGGCCACTGCCTTGGTCTTCCAAGAGCCTCAGAGCCGGGCTTGCTCGTTTCCATCTCGGCAAGGCAACACAGACTGCAATGCGAGCAGCCCAGCACCGGGCAGAAGGCTCCAGAGAGACTGAGCACCGAGCGGTCCGAGCGGGCCTTGGCAGTGATCTTGGACAGGTCGCTCCGTATCTGCCCGTTGGAACTTGCGCCCCTACACCATCGGTCCAGCACACATCCAGCGAATCCTCCAGGTCTGTGCCGAAGACATCTTTCGTCAAGAGATGTGTTGTTGCCTGACACGACGTCCCCGCATGATTGTGCATGTTTGGCTCTGTAGTGACCAGTTGTGTTGTGTAGTGGTCAGAACATGCACGCAGAATGCGGCGTGTGCCGCTGGCAGCATATGCAGCCATGTAGTGCACAGCCAACCAATTTACACTCACTCTCAGCCACAGCTGCCATACCGTTGGATAGGACCAAAGCTGAGCAAGCGTGCCTGCACCGTCGCGAGATGGCAGAGCTGCGTTGTCGACGGGTACCTGAGGGCAAAAACCAGTGTTTCCTCATGAGACTTGCCATGTGACCAATGCTTCACAATGTGTTGGCTTTTACAACATAACGTACTTCTGCTTCAATCGATTTTAGTCGGACTTGCGGCATGCACGGTCCCAGGAGATTTTCGCGGCTGACGCCCACTGAAATTTGCTGCCAGTTGATCGAGACCGTCTGCGCCTTCAAGCAATAAGAGAAGGGGTATGGCAGCACCGATTCGGGACACTTGGCCCGAACGGCTAGCCGACCATGGGGTCACCTGCAAACAGTGACCCCGCAGTCCTCCTGGACCAGGACGTGAAATCAAAGCGCTATCATCTGCTTCAGACTCACGGAGATTCCTTCGTGGGTAGCTTCGAGGAGCACACCGAAGCAGCTATCTCCGGTTGTATTCTGAACGGTTGCTCGTTGCAGGCCTCTGCAGCATCAGTCCTTTGGGGCGAACTCTTTACAGAGAAGGACCTGAGGGCTCAACAGCTTTCACTGCAGAGGGAAAAAACAAATCTCTGTTTGCGGAGGAGCGGAACTTCCTGCGCCAGGTCCTCGAAGAAGGGAACCAGTCCTTCGGAGTCAGGCTGCGTGGCTCCCTGCGGTCAAACCAGCGCTGCTGATCTTGCTCGCCACATCTGGAGCGTGCAGGGACACTTTCCAGCTGGACTACCGGATTGCTTGGAATCCTTCGGCCAAGCAGCAGATGCAAGCCAGGGGCCAGACCCTTGCCAAAACTTGCCAGCTATTGCCAGCTTGTCTTGTTTGTCAAGTCGGTTTTGATTTCGCAGATCAGAACCTCGGACGCGTGCTCTGAAGTCTCTCGAACATGCTAGTTAAGCCCTGGCGCTAAGCCGAGCTCTTCCGGGAGTGGTAGTCGTGCTTCTGATATTCTGATGCCTGTCCTTTCATTGCTAATCTTGATTCGTTCATGTCAGTTGCTCTGGCATCTTGCTTCATCCTGCTCCTGTCCTGTCGACAGTCTTGTTCCGTGGGGAACTATTCAGCGGTTGTGCACGGAAAGAGACTGGCATTGGCTGTCTGACAAACGAAGGATCCACGATGGCAAGCTGGTCATCTTAATACATGGTTCCAAGCTTACATGTCTAGCAGGTGACAGTGCTCTGGTTTCCTGCCTTGAGTTGGCAGCTTTTTTGCTCAGGGTACAGCGGCCGCATCACAGATTCCTGGGGCTGGGCCAAGCTGGTGAAGCCACTGTGGAAACAGGGCTTCACGGCACACGGATTGCACATTCAGAACTGTTACAGTGCGCCGTCAGGGCAGCAAGAGTTTCAAGAGTGTTCTGTATATCTTGGCAGTTGAGGTTTGCCTGCTGGACATGCCTGGCTTTGGAAGGAGTAGCATCAATCTGCCTCTCGTCCATGGGTAGTGAGCAATAACTAGGTAACGCGCGCGCGCGCGAGGAGCCGCGTTTTATTCAATGGTAGGAATCAGCTAATTTCCTGGGGTTTGGCACGATTTCTACGAAGAATTCGGGTGTTGCCCCAAGCAATTCGTTTGATGTATACTTACATGTTTGTGCATTTGCTGTTCATTCTGTAAATTTGTCTGGTGTGCTTCGGGTCTTGTGCTCGAGTTCCAAGAATGCAAGCATTTGGACTACCGACCTCAAAGACCCCGAAACTGCACGTAAACCCAGCCAGAAGTCGCAACCCAACCCGTCAGTCTACAAAGTGCCCGGTAGCTAGGGTTCATGCCTAATGTGACCCCGAAAGGGCCAGGGAGACAGCCCCTGAAACGTACTACAGGCTCCCGGACGACAAAGACTTCCCAGTTCAAATCTTTCGCTCTGAGCTGAAGACCGATGTGTGCGTGTGAGACACATCGGAGTCAGGGTTCAAGGAGGCGAAGGTTTGTCCGGACACTGCAAAAAATCAAGTCTTCGTGAGCGGATTCAACTCTCTGAGGCAGTCATATGGTGTGTTGTGTTGGCTTTTGCATTGCAACGCCAACACCATTGAAAGCACGATTGCCGGAAACTCTCTGCAACACCTTGCGGAAGACACATCACCTGGGTAAGAAACTGGCAGAGCTTCAAGACAAAGAGTAGACCGGAAGAACAGAATCCCGATTGACCATTCCGAGAATGTGTGTGGGTGGCAAAGGAAGTTATCTTCCTCCCCCATCCCTCCCCCCATCACCCTTCCCCTCCCCTTCCGAAAGAAGAATCAGAACTCGCGCGGAACGCCGAAGAACGTTATTCCCCGATAGAAGAACCAGAATTTTTGCGAAACACCACGGCGCCTGGTGCACGCATCACCAACTAACCATGTCCATGTCCTCATTCGTGTTGCTCGTTGGGGTCTGTTACGAGGAAGAAGCCATCCCAAAGCATTGCTTGGTGAACTTCCGCGGAGCACCTTTTTGCGGGAAAATCGGAATCTGAGGAAATGGAATGCTCCCTTGACCAGCTGGCTGCGTGTCTGCAGTTGCAGAGACCAGCTCACAAGTTTCGTGAAAGCGGCCGTGGAGTGTTGAGTCTTGAGAGTTTCGCAGGCTGTTTTGCATCTCTTCCTTCTGCGAGATTCAGATCTTTCGTGCTTTTTTAACTTGATTTTCCTAGCTGTTCGTATCGTTCGCTCAGGCAACATGTCGACTCGATCGTCCTGTCGAAGTTCATAGAGGGGATGCGTTTCCGCAATCCTGCCAGGCCACGAAGCGGAAACATGTCATGCGATTTATGACGTTCTGCAATTGCACCGCGGTTGTTTCTGTGGCACCAGCTTCCCCTTTCAGTGACGTATCTAAATTGGCTGAGGTTGCAGTGGCTGTTGCACCAAGCACTTCAGAAGAGCCGTAGGTGGTCCAACCGGGAAACGGCTTGTACGACTGAGCAGGGGTGGACTTCCTCTAATCTGTGATGGTCCCCCGGCCACCTTATTGGCTGCAAATTTCAAAGTGAAAGTTTCTCGCCATCACGCCATGCGGCAGCTGCTTAAGTGCCATGCCTGTGGCAAAAGGCTTCAAGCGACCAAGGCATACAGACCCCCCGACATTCGCCCACAGGTTTTCGGCCTGCTGGATGTCTCGGGCATACTATCGGGCATGCTATTGCTCAATAGGGGTCCCAGTGCATTTGCTGTGCAATCTCTGCTGTACCACTCCATCCGACTTTATGTGCGCCGGCATGGATGCATGGATACTGTGTTTGGGTTTCGTCGATTTCTGTTGGAGCATTTGGGCCCGTTGGACAAGGGCAGACGCAGAAAGTGCTAGCGCAGCCTCGGATGTGGTCAGCGTCGTCTGAGCAAGAGTCGATAGTGGCTTTGTGGATCTGAAAGAAATACGGTTAATCGATAGATCGGTTTCCACAGAGCTCAAGTGTGCGCAGCTTCTGCCAGTGTCATCGGCTACCGCGAGTCCTGCAAGACGGTGCTGCGACTCTTCCGCGACTCACCACACCTGGTAGCCACCCAGCGCCTGATGCTGCAATTCTATGCTTGTTTGTAGTCACGACGGTTTCTGTAGCATTCTGTAGCCTTCGAAGGCATGCGCTTATTGACCCGATCTTCACCCTGGACGACGTCTATCCACTGGAACCTCCTTACGGAGCCATCAGCAAAGAGTGGCTCGCCGAGAAGCCAGGCGGGCGCCAGCGGGCCAGCGGGCAGCCTCCTCGCAGCATCTTGCGTTGCCTGTCTTTGCCAGGCAAGCAGGCCGTGGAGTTTGACAAATTTCTCGGGACACTTGGCACGGTGAAAGGTCTCCTTGCTGCCAGGCTGCCACTAACACCATGCGCTCGTGCCTCCGCCTTATCAGGAGGAGCAAGACCTTCCTTTGGACCATCTTTACTGGCGGCTTGGTGGCTTTGGCTCAGAAGTTTAAGCCTGTGGATGCCTTCTCTGTGAGGCAAGTCAGACACCGACTCTGGCCGTGAGGCACTACAGGCCCCGCTGAAACGGCGATGATGCGATAATCTGCCAAGGCATTCCGCCCTTGTCGCAGGCAGTGATGCGCAGAAGGCAGCATTTGGCGATGCGGATCTGCGTATCCCACGTCACGAAGGCACCCTCGGACCCCCTTTAAACAAATTGACCGTGGCCTCGCTATCTCTTGTGGGAGTCCCAGTCCCAGGAGTTCATCTCTGAAGCTCGAGCTGGGGCCAGCGGGGCGGGCTCCTACGCCCACGTGTCCCGAACCTCAGACGCAGAGCGCGAGCAGAGAGAGTGCTCGGAGCGCTTCTTGGGCTCAGAGCTTTGCTGCAGGCTGTTCTTCTGCAAGTGCGCCGCGCCTTCCGCGGGGCAGTTCGGTGCGCTTCCAACACGGGGCCCCTGCACAGGTATATGAAGGACAAGCTGTCCGAATTCATGGCAGGGGGGAAGGCCATGTCGTTGAGTTGCTCCAGTGTGAGCCTGTGAAACACGTCCCACTTTCGCTTCTGAAGGCGCCGAAAGAGATTCCGCCATGGGCTCTGGAGGCCTCGGATGCAAGCTCCCTGAGAGAAGAAGCCGTGCTGTTACGGCTATGGTGAGGTCACCTCCACGACGGCTTCAAGCTCGATTGGATCCAAATCTCTTCCAAGTTGCTCGCCAGCAGATCGCTTTGCGGAGGAACTCGTGACTGCCCCCTGCGGCCGCGGCTTAGGTGTGGACTCTCCAGCTGGAAGGGCTACTGCCTGAGTCATGAACATGCTGAAATGCACGACAGAACCACCGCTAAAGGCCAAGGCCTTCAATGCGCTGGAGACCGTCCAAGAAGTGGCGGAGGTTGCTTTCTCCACAACTCGCAGACAGAAGAGCTCGCATGCTGGCAACAGGTGCTGTCAAGATGTACGACGGCCAAACAAGACTCACGCCCGCAATCACCTGTGGCGACAAACGAGGCGTGATTTGTGCCCATGTTTGTGCTTCACACATGCTTCACGGGATGCTTGGCTGTTGAGCTGGCATGGTGTGACCTGCCCGAAATTTTCGATGTCGTCTGCAGGCACGTAATGATCTGGCACCGCTGCATATGGAAAAACATCAGAAACCTTCTGCTGGAGCTGGCAAGAGCCACCCACTGCTCCCAGCGCTGCGTCTTGGCGAACTTTTTGTGCATGTCACCGTAATTTGGACCCACCGGCAAGTCGAGACGTGTCTGAGGTTCGCCAACTCGACAACCTTCAGGGACACTGTCAACCTCCGCGAGACGTTGAGGACCCACCGGTCTCAGGGGAGTGTACCGAGAGAGCTGCGAAATGGAAGCCAGGACAGATGCAGCCGGTTCTAAAGGCTTTCGAGACAGACCGGCGCATGCCCTTACGAACACCGGGCTCAAATCTTCTTGCTGCCCCTGCCTCCCTCCCCTCCCTCCCTCCCTCCCTCCCCTCCCTCGCTCGCTCGCTCTCGCTCTCGCTCTCGCTCTCGCTCTCGCTCTCGCTCTCGCTCTCGCTCTCGCTCTCGCTCTCTCTCTCTCTCTCTGGCTGTTTTCGGGCTGCAGTGTTCGTGTCGAAGTGTCTGAATCAAGGAAACAGAAGCATCGCTCAGAAGCTGCCTTGGGCATGGGCATGAGCCGTAACCTGGCTTGAAGTGCACACATACGCATGTACGCATGTGCAGTATACTGGGGCCCATACGAATCACCAGGAAACGCGGCTACCAACGGGAAACAAGTCAGATTCAGACTTCTACGCATCGTCAGCAGACGAGCACGGCTACATGCCAAAGTAATTTTAACGCTACGCCGCCCGCCTCGGCTGTGTAGCGGCAGGGCGAGGGGGCAGTCGATGTTTTTTAATGCTAGGGCGGCCTGTCAAACCCCAACCTTTACACGGTTGTTGATACGAGGAGAACGGGTACAAGCGGGTGGGGGGGGAGGGGGGGGGGGGAGGGGGGGGGGGGGGGGGGGGAGGGGGGGGAGGGGGGGGGGAGGGGGGCGGGGAGGGGGGGAGGGGGAGGGCGGGAGGGAGGAGAACCGACAAATCAGGTAAAATGAGGCGGGGGAGGGGTGGGAGGGAGGGGGGAGGCCGACAAATCAGGTAGAATGAAGGGAAGCCGGGCAAGGGGGTGGCAAACGAACGCAAATGGACTGCAGGGAGGAGGATTAGGTGGAGGGTACCTGAGCTAACCCCCAAGACGCCTGGGCCTGTGGCCTCGGCGGATAATACTCTACAACGACGATATCTCAAACTCACCATGAGACATGTTGGTGTACAATGGGTTCAAGTCATGAGCAGATGCTCACAAATCCGAGAAGTTCGAATAGCGCCAGACCAGGACATCATGGCATTCGCATCCACATCCAAGGACCACTCCGCCAAGACACCGCAAAACCAAAATCCCTCGTAAGCACAGGCAAGACGAGACTAGCAAGCTTCATGGTCTGCATGGTGTGGCCTGTTGGGTGTGGGGCACTTCAAGCGTTTGGAAGGCACCACCGCCGTGCCCGCTCGGGCTTTACACATTTGGGATTCTCGTCTTGAAAGCCAAAATGGCCCCAAAGAAATGACGTGGGCATGGCAGACGCGAATTTGGCAGCCAGGCTCGCCTGTCGGGCTCGCCTCGCGGCATCACTGGTCTGTATCACTTCACGCCGAACGCAAATATCACATATCTAATGTATTCATAACATATATAGAGCGCTGCCCTTTTCAGTAAACAAGCAGGAAGTTCAGAACACCATGTTCAGGAGATACCGTCAGCTTTTTCTCAGCAAGCTGGGGTGTTTTTTTCGGTAAGTTGCTGGGGCCTTTTTGGAATAAGCAACTACCTTTAGGGTTTAGGGTTTGGGTTTAGGGCTTAGGGCGTAGGGTTTGAGTTTAGGTTTAGGTGTACATGTATACATCTACGCATAGGTGCACTGATCTACGGCAACTTACGCTACTCTCTTCTGCTAGTAAGTGAGACGCAGCTCGCGGAGACAAGCGGTGATTTCCCGGTGCGCGAACTTCGGTGCAAAGTTCCTCTACCTTTGATTGGCCATGAGTGCGAGATCTGATGCTGACGGTGCCAGATGCTGCGATTTTCAGTCTTCGGAGCCGTGAAACACCTCCCACCAACCAAGCTCGCGAAGCTTGTTTCCAAGGCTTCGGAAGCAGCTTCCTGGGTCAGACACGATCCGAGCCGAAGCTTCAGGACAACATTTTAACGTTTCACGTTTAAGCAGACCTCAGAGACACTTCGGACTTCTTCGGACAGTTTGGCCGGTCAGACTGAAGTCTTCGCCTTGAGCTTTCGGCAAGGACCTCCATGGCAGTGTCGGCCCCAGTCGTCAGGCTGTGTAGCAACATCTTGAGCACGTGTCTCCGGTGACAGGGCACCAGGAGGCTTTCGAAGAAGGTCCAGGCGAGAGTCGTGCAGTCTGCTGTAGGAACCTTGCCGTTGCTTCGTTGTACTGCAGATTTTGAACCCTTGTCTTTGCAACTGTTCTTGTTGCTGTGACTGCTTCCTGAGTGTACTGTGGTGGTTCCAGGAGGTGTTGATTAAGTTGGGCACACACTTTGCTCATCTGTTCTTTGGAAGGCCAGCCCAAGAAAAGTCGCGGGCACAAGGCAGGTGTCTGTGGTGGGAAGCATCGTAGTAGAAACAGGCTGCAGGCTGTGGGCTAGAAAGCTTCACCGAAGCGTGTCACGTCCATGTACAGCTTTGGGAGCCGGCGCGCAGGGCCGTTCGAACGTCCAGCGGACTGCAGGAGGGGTCGTCTCTAGGCCGCATTCGACGACTGCGCCTCTGCGCTCTGCGGCGATTTGCCCCTCCCAGGCGATTTGCCGAGCCGAGCTGCCGCCGCCTCCATTCAAGACGGAGGCCCGTGGTGACCTCGTCGCAATTGTTCTTGAAGGGACCAGCGACTCAGTGTCGACAGAATCTCGCGCCTCGCGCTCGCAGGCCGTGAAATGTAGCATCACCAGATGTGCCTCCAAAGCAACGGAACAACGACGCTTGGCTATAGCAACCCCGTTTGTCGCTCTACTGCCTGCTTCCGCGATTGTTGAGGGCGTGGTTCCGCTGCAATGCTTGGTGGTGAACTCAGGACTCGAGGATCCCCAGCCCATTCGACACAGGCTTATCTGCACCTCGGTTGCTTTGGAGTGATGAACCCAAGCCGCCCTTGTACTGTCTGAGCCGAGGTCCTGTGAAACGAACGAAGGAGGCTGTCGAGGCCACGGGCTACAGCTACTCACCTCGTGGAGCCCAGGCCAGACCAGCGGCCGGAAGCTCGAAGCCATCCGTGCAGAGCCTTTCCAGAACTCTCCAGCTTAGGTCCAAGATGTCCTGGAGGAGCTGAAGGGTTCGATCCCATATTGGTAGCGTTATTTGCTAAAGTATGCAATTTGCCAGCGCTCTTGCTGGCCATCAAAGATGGCTGGCACCTTAATTTAATGATTCTCAAAGGCATTCGTTCCAGAGCGGGAAGGTGTAAAGGTTTTGGCGGAATGCGATGGCTCTCAGAGATTTCGTTGCCCAAGGCAACGTCGTCTGGATGTTGCATGCACCGTTTTTGGAAGTGCATGCACGGTGGTTCCCAATGCTTGTGGAGCAAGGGCTTCATGGAGAGAAGCTGCAAGCGATGGCAGCGGCAGCACGCAGATATAGCCAGAAATTCGTGCACCGAGCTGGCGAGCTGGGGACTTCTCGACCAGGTGATCCAGGATTGGCCCGAGGGCCGGTCGATCCAGGCCAGCTGCTAGCTTGCTCTCGCTCGCTTTCTTGAACCTTGGGTCTGGGGGGCTTCAAGGCGGTAGCCGTTTCGCGATTTCAGCCCACCATGGACGAAGAGTTGCAGGCATCCGTGCTGTAGTGTTTGGTATTTGTAGCTGCTTTGCGCAAAGCGCCTCGGCCTTCATGCTTCGGGATTCTCACAGCTCTGCCAGCCTACATTTGCAGGAGAGCCTACTGAGTTGCTTTTCCCAAAATTTGAAGCTTATGGCTGAGATTCTCTCAACAGTTGCGTGTTTCGTGAGATTTCTACACTGGCATGTATTCGGTCGTGAGATCCTTATGTACAGCCTAGGCCGCAGCATGAGACCCAGACACAGTCTGTGAAGCCCAAACGGCGCAGGGTGACATGGCTGCACCTTCAGCAATGACAGGGGGAGGGGTGGCACAGACTACGCAGGAGGGACCTTCAAGTTTGTCCCACGCTTGATCGTTGCATTCTTGCTAAGATGCTGCGCCATTCTGTTTGCAACGTCCATCTGGGTGATGCGACTCAGCCCTCACTGTTCCTGGAGGCATGTCGTGAGTGTAGCAAGCACCGTGTCAGTGAATGTGTGCTGCATTGAGACAATTGGCGCAGGATGTGAGACTCCCATCGGAGGAACTCCCCCGTAGTGTGTTTCCGCTCGAGGCCTGAGACATGGAAGACTACGAACACTTAAGTACACTGCCACTGCCGTTCCTTTGACCAGTCTAGATTGGTCCGATACACTCCTCTGAAGCACCTCAGCATCCTGCACTGCGTCACTGTGCTATCATGTCCGCAAAGCTTTGCAACCCCGATGCTTCAGTAATGTATGGATAAGTGGGCAAGGCACGTCATGCAATGGGCAATTCCCCCAAATAACCCAAATGAGAGTGTGAGCGAGTGTCGCGAGCAAATGAGAGAATCGAGTCAAATTTGTCAACAGGAACCAGTGCTTACACTTGGTCTGAGTCTAGTGGATTTGCGGCAGTGTGAAGGCCAACGAGCTCAGACTAAGTGCAAAGAGTGACATGGGTGAGTGACAAGAAGAGCAATGACAGCACCAGCAAGCCCGTTGCCGAGTCAAGCCTGAGGGACAGCGTCGTAGCGGCAAACAAGTGCGACATTGAACGACCCAACGAATTGAGCGGGTGAGTGGAGCAAGTGAAAGTAGTGGCCAATGATCACATATTCAAGGTTGGCAGCCTGACTCATTGCGCTGCTCCAAGAGTTGGCGCTTTGCCGCATGCACATGTGGACATGGGAAAGTAGGCCGTGGGAGGCAAGCTCAGACACAAGCGAAGGAGAACATGGACTAAGCAACGGGGTTTCAGCACAGGAAGTAGAGACTGGGCACCTATGTTCGACAGCGATCACAGTGCAGAGCAGCACTTTCCCTCATACCCTCATTCCCTGGCTCCCTCACTGCTTCTCTCCTTCACTCACTCAATCAAGCAGTCAATCAATCTACTCGCCTGCTCTGCACTTGTCTGCTCCATTCCCATACTTCTTCTCGTAATTTGAATCACTGTTCTGCCCAGGCATGCGCCTTGACTCCTTTCACTCCAGTAGAGTGCTCGATTGTGCACCCATCATCAGTCGCTCACTGCCCACTGCTTTGTCCACTCAAAATAATTACATCTCTTAATTCCAGCTGCAGTTGTGACTACTTTGCCACTGGTAACAGTCTTTTGCTTCTGATGAAGCGCACAAGGATGTGCACCACTCACCGCGCGGGCTGAGTGCAGGAAATCCTTTCGCGGAACATCTTGTGGCTCGTGGCGCAGATGGTTCGCAAACTAGTCGAGTCCTCGGCTTGAATGCAACCGGGCACCGATGCTCAACATGAAAGTTCGTGGCCGCAAGTAATCGACCGAGGATCTCACGCCTGCACCGCCCGGACTTGGGCAGGTGCACAGGATGCGAAAAGTGACTCGAATCACGAATTTCGGCACCGGCAGGAGAAGCCTCCTTCGGTGGGAGGCCGCGGCCGCGCAGGATGAGCTACTGGTGGAAGTGTAAGGACCCGATCTGAAGCCCAGGAATGCCGGGTGCGGTGGAGACGCTCGTTGCAGGAATGGCCAGGACAGTTTTCAAGCAAAAATGTCCCAATGCATGCACGTAGCTTGGCACATTGACAACGGCACACTGTGACAAAGACACACTGCAAAAGGCTCGAACAATTGGTGATTTCAACATGCCTGCAATGGCCCTTCCGAGTTTGAGACCGGGTCGCAGAGCTGCGGATACTGCATCGAGTGCATTCCTCTTTGCACCCGGCGCCCGATGTGCGCCCTTTGAGCCCAACGAACGGCTCCTGGTGCAAAGGTACCCCCTACACCGCCCACGCATCTCAGCATTCCACCACCGTGGTGGGGCAGATCCGCACTTTAGCGGCTTTGTCACGGGTGGTACCATGGTACTCGTTCTCGCTCTACGAGGCAGCACTGGCTACAAGCTGGCTTTTCATGCCCGAGGCAGACAAACGAGACATCGACCTCTGCGAAATAGCGGTGGGGACACCGAAGCCGAAAATGATGTTGCAGTTCCGACCAGATTGCAGCTGCTGAAGTTTGCTGCCCCTTTGGCAGCAGTGAGCGTGACAGGCCCCATCCTGTCGACTATTGATACATCATTTGTTGGACGATGTGCCGGTACAGTGGAGTTGGCAGCCCTTGGACCTGCTTGTACAGTTACTGACCTCATCTACCTGATTTGTAGCACGGTGTCAACTGCGGCCATCAATTTGTATGCAAAAAATGCGGAGGAGCACAAATTGAAGAGATTCAACGCGACGTGCCTTTCTGTGGGTTTCTTTGTGGGAGTCGCTGCTGCCCTGGTATCTCTCACGTTAGGTGGGCAGTTGCTTCAAGCTCTCGGAGCCATGCCGGTGATGATGGGGGTGGCACGGAAGTATGTAGTAGTGCGAGCCCTTGGACTTCCATTTGCGAGCATGGCCTGTGCCATGTATGGGCTTTGTGTTGGACGTGGAGATACACAAACACCATTGGCCGTGCAAGTTTACTTGTCAGCTCTCTTAAATGTTTGCTTCGACTGGCTGCTGTGTGCAGTCATTCCATGGGGTGCGTCAGGTGCTGCCTGGGCAACAGTCGCCGCGCAGACAACCAGCTTCTGTGCGTATTTCCTGTTGATGCGCCGGAAGGGGCACCTTCCATTGCCAAGTTCCGAAGACTTCCTGCCATCCTTCTCGGAAGCGAAGCCAGTATTTTCAATATTCCTTCCGGTCTCCTTCATTGTTGTGTGTGTCCTATCTATGTACGCATGCATGTCAGGCTTTGTGAACAACACACAGCCATTGCCGATGATAGCTGCATATAAGATTTGGATAACGGTCTTTGCGTTCTTCGCTTTGTGCGCAGACCCGATGGCAGCTGCGACCTCCACCAAGCTTCCTCCATTCATTCTCGAAGGATCCAGCCCAAAGGCACGGCTGTTCGTCCGACGAGCTATTACCTGTGCTGCTGGAGTTGGCGCGATTGGGGGTGCCTCGCATCGATAGATGGTAGTACTATTTTCGCATTTTCGTGTTGATCTTGTTGCTACTAGTATCTCTCGGTCTCACTACTTTGCCTGCGTTGACGCTGAGGTCTGCTTGGTGCATCAGTGCTTAACTTTTTGCCGTGGATCTTTACCCAGGATGCGACAGTCATGGACGGCGCCAGAAATGGATTGTTTCATTTTGTGGTGTGCCTCGGCCAGGGACTAGTGGCTGAGTGCCGCGAGAGCTAGGCAAATGTCTCAAGTTTTGAGCCTGTTGAGAAGGCTGCTCTCCTCTCCCGGGCTTGCGTATACATCTCACGGTGTCGGGCCTTTCGCTGGCAGTTCTTAGAATACACCCCGCTTTGTGAGCTTTCGTTCCCCCGTTCCAGATTCCACCATGCACTCATCAGAACATGTGGTGTTGGTCTCTGTGTGTGTGTGTGTGTGTGTGTGTATGTGTGTGTGTGTGGTGTGTGTGTGTGTGTGTGTGCGTGTGTGCAGGACACGGGTTGCACGGAAAATGCCGCATGAGTTTTGCTCAGCTCAACCGTCACACACAAGACCATCCTGGTTCGGCACAGGCTGTTCATGGGCTCATGATAACAACAACATTAATACGTGGCAAAGATTCATGAGTGTGTGAGCGTTATCTGAGGATTCTTTGCTTCATGCATCCTGCCCGAGTCTGTCAAAACTCGCTTGTTGTACATGGCGACCTTCTTTTCTATGTCATTGCGCAAACTTGCTTGTCTCTCCTTTTCTTCGCCGGCCTGACCTTGCTGGCGCGCAGGCCGGAAGCTGAGTTTTATCTTGTGCGATTGGCAGAGGTTTGTATTGCGTCACAACAAACTCACAGCAAGTGGAATTCGGCAAGTTCGCGATATGTGATTTCCTGGAGGTGTGCGACAGGAAGCATCTCTGCCTACCGTAGCATGCTGACTGCAACGCTGATCTTTTACATGGCGAGCCTGAAGACTTATGGGCTTCGTGTGCGATATTTGAACCGCAAAGTCGGTGTTAAAGATTAGTCGCACGTGGCAGAAGTGCGAAAGGAGAACCCTGCTTGTCTTCGCTCATGCTTTTGCTCATGCTCGGAGCTGAGCAGCTGATTTCCTGAGGAGCACCATTCTGGTCAGCCTCTCCTTACGTTCGTCTTGTCTGCGGGATCAAGGTGTCTTCCAGCTGCCTGGCTTGAAATGGACACTTTGTGTCGCATTCGTGCACGTGCGTCTGGTTTACTGGGCTGAGCATGGCTGAGCACTCGGTCATTAACCTTGAACCTCCGGCCCAGACATCAGCTTTACTGCGATAGGACAACGCCAAAATGTTCTAGCCTCTGTCCAAAACTCTGACACCTTCCAAAGGCCACTGCCAAGACATTGAAACGGCATATCACCGACGCGTGCAGATCCAAAGTTCCAAACTGCAGGTGCATGCGTCCTGGTATCATGTTGTAAACGCACGGAGTGGAGACCAAATCCGGCTGCCAAGGTTGGCCGCCGCTGCTTCGAACTCGGAGTTGCCCACTTCTTGACGCGGGGCAGTTGCTTGATTTGCGAGGTTGCGAAGTGTCAGACGCCGTCGCCTTGGTTTCAATCAGACAAAGAGGAACACGAGCCGTGCAAGTGCAGCTGTAAAGACTGTCCGAGGGCCGAGAAGCTGCTCTCGTGTTGCAAAAGCATGCTTTTGCCGAGGCTGCGCGAGCTGGATCTGAGTGACAACAATTTCGGAGCCAAGGGGGCCGCCAAGGCTTCTGGGGCCCCGCTTGACGCTTCAGAAGCCTTCATTGCAACAAGCCTCGCGGGTCTCAGCTTCTTTTCGAGGTGCTACAATCGGGCAAAGAGCATCTAGAAATGCTCGACTTAAGTCGAAGGCCCAGTCTGGATGATGCATTTCCACTACAAGATCGGGCTACGGGGGCATGAGAAGGGGCTGTGCTCTGAGGTCGGAACAGGTTAGGTGATGCCGGTGCCAAAGCACTTGCAGAAGTCCTTCTGAACTGCGCGCTTCTGAGTCTGAGACTTCGCGGCATGATGGCAGCAAGAACTCGTAGACATTTCCGAACCTGGAGGCCACAGTATCTCAGTGCTGCGGCTGAGGGCAAACGGTATCATGCCCTGCGAGAGGCTAGGTAGCTAAAGGCTCGAAGTGTTGAGGTCGGGAATATGTGAGTTCACTTATGCAAGGCTGCCGTGATTTGATGGCCGTCTATGCGAGTTTTATTTAACCTTGCAAGATGACTTTCAGTTGGTCGTGGTAGAGCTGCATTTGTTGCTACTCGCTGTGTTCGAGTTGAGCTGCGCAGCTTCTCATATTTGCTTCGAAAGAGAGGTATCGGAGACGAAGGTGGTGAAGCGCTGGCAGAATCCTTGATGTACAGACCTCAAGCTTCCGCAGACCTGAGTTTCGTGAGGTGTCCAACATCGTTTTTCCAGGTCAGTGACGTCTTTGCGAGAGTTCGACTTCTCACAAAACGAGGCTCTGACTGCTTCGCAAAGCTTCGCGTGACAACAGTGATGTGCAGATCCACCTGCCAACGTCTTCGGTGATGCTGCGTGTGGTTGCCTTTGCAGGGTTATTCGTCCTTAAGTCGTGCCTGGGTAAATCCGCGCCCTTTTCCGGATTAAAATGTCGCTTCAATCTGAGGCTGTGTGTGCTTCTCGCGGGCTTCAGAGGCCCAATGCCAACCAATTTGAGTTCCCCTCCTTCCTTAACTCTGCAACCCTTGCAGGCTCTACTTGGACAGCAGCTTGCCATGGCCAACAAGCGATAGCTTCGAGGCCAGAGGAAAACAACCGCGCGGTTCCTGTTCTTTTGTCAGAAACTTCGAAAGGCCCAGGTTGCCGGCTTCACCGATCAGCTGAGCATGCCGCTGAGGGTATCCTCAGCGTTCAGTGTCTGAGAGCTTTGCAGTTTCTGTCTTCTACGAGCTGAGGTGGCGCGCAGGCGGTGCCGTCATTACAGCTCTTGAGCCTCAGGCAGACACAAAAGGAGCGGATCTTTTTCGTGGTTCTCCGCCGAGCGAGCGTTCCGGAGGCGCTGCGGGCTGTCCACCTCGGCCTGCAAGCTCTTTCAGTCTCTGGCTTCCAACTCGGCCGCACACCCAAATGCACCGATCGCATCAACGTCACATGCAAGTAGAACAGCGGAACCGATTCGATTCGGCTTCCATCTAAGACTCTCCGGCAGCTCAACGTCTCTTGCAACGGCTTACGGCAGGTCTGATCGGCCAGCGGATTTCTTTTGCGCCACATTTGCGCCTTATGCTTTGCAAGAATCTGCTCTGCGCCAGAGCGTGGCTCCTGCGATTGCAGCAGCGTTAACATCCGCCAGTACAGGCCTGGAGGCGTGGACTTCTGCTAGGCTTGCAAGCCTCACAACGCTCGGTTGTCCCCGCTTCGGCTCCGTGCAAGGAGCTTGACCTGAGGGACAACCGGCTTGGAGCACAAGATGCGCTGGCTGTGGCTCTGGAGCAGGTTGGGCGACATTCAACATGTCACCGTCGATTTCCGATCTTGCGCCGAACTGGCCTGCTCGCTTCAGGTTTATGCAGCCGCAGCTCAGGCTTCTGCACTGTGTGTGCATGTGTGTGTGCATGTGCGTGTGTGTATCCGACCTTGTTACGATGGGATTTCGATTCAGAGACAGCCAAGGGCACGAATGCGATCAAACAACTCGTGTCAACTCAGACAGTTGTTGATGCCAGTGAAACTCACCTGGGCCGGGATTTTGGGCTTACGAACAGCTTGAGGTTCCCAAAGGTTGGGCAGTTGATTGTTACACCTGGGATTGCCCAACTTTGTCTGCGCGGGAGCCGATCCAACGTGCATAGTCGGTGCTCCCTTTTCGAACAATGAAAGATGTAGGCGCTCCAACCTTGTTACCGAAGCGCATCGATTCTGAGATCGTATTCAGCAGTGTGCGTGGGTGCGATCAAGAGCTCCGGTGACCAGCGAAGGCACTTGTCAAACCCACTGCTTGATCGCAGTGAAACGTACGTGGGCTAAGATTTGGGGAAACTCATGGGCCGACGAACAGGCTGGAGTTCTGAAAGGTAAGTCCTTGGGAAAGGATTGTTTGAGCTGGGATTGCGCGACCTTGCGTGCATGGTCGAGCAGTGGTCGAGGTGTTTTCCTTTCACGTTGAATTCCTACTGCTTCAAAATGTCAGCAACCATTTGTGCCGGTGTGGCTGTGCGTTTGCACCTTTGGAAAAGTGCAGGAAGATTTCAGGGGCAGGATGGAGAAAAGTTAGTGTGTCTGTCTGTCTGCCTGCCTGGCTGTCTGGCCGTCCGTCCGTCTGTCTGCTTGTGTGAGTGCTTAAAGCTTGTACGGCAATGCATTGCATAGTGAACGCGAGGCCGGTGCCATGCGTCGGACAGAGCAAGCCCCAGCAATTTGATTTGGTTCAACTTGTTGCTGGCGCTGCCTGGGCTGTGAGCTTGATCTGAGGCTAGCATTGATTCGGAGGCCGAGTCTGTGGTCTCTGAGTAAGTCTCGATGATATCTGACGATAGATGATCCTGCAGCAAGCCCGAATATTCAAAACGAAATCAACTCCGTGTGCTTGTCCTGTCGGCGCAGCGCAGGCAGAACCTCCAAATCGCGGGTGGAACAACTGCTTGCGGCAATTGGTTGGGGCTCTCAGATCAGATACCAGATGGATCAGATGGTGAGGATTAGGTTCCATTCCCTCCTGCCTGGTACTGAGAACTTGGCAAACAATGAGATCACTGCTACGGCAGTCTCGAGGCCAATCTTGGGCAATTTGCCGACACACGGAAAGCTGTGAATGTGTTGCGCTGTTGTAACACAGGATTGCCCCCGTGCTGCCCTTCTTCAATGCCCTCGAGGCTTTGCTTTGCTTGAGAAGAGATGCGAGGGGCTAGGGGACTTCTAGACTACGAAACCTTTCCGGAGGAGCTCCTGCTTTACCACAACCCGATGCTCGGGGATGCTGGAGCCCAGGCCACTCGTGGCCGACAAGCAATCGTTCTTGTGAAGCTGATGCCATGCTGGGCGTTGTTGGCATTAGGAAGACAGTAGATCTAATTTTGGCCTCCCGACGACGACCCAGACGGGAAGCTGGACAACATCTGCGATGGGAGAAGTAACCTGCAAATCAGAATCGCTCAGTTCAGATCTTTTTTGGCCCAGGCCAGGTGAGCCCACAGGCAGCACTTGCATCTGAAAGAATTTTCAGTACAGTAATCCTGCGAGATGTAATAATTCTGCCAGTTGGTGTCCTCAGGGATTCGGAAGGACAAGCGGTCGCCAATTGCATGTGCTGTAAAGACCACTGTGCCAGTCAGCAGCACATGAGATGCGTGACATTCGACACGTATGGTTCCCTCATGAACTCCGGTTAGGAAGATCATGCTGTGGAGCCTTTCGGCGCCATCTACCACATCCTGGGAATTGAGACAAAAATTCGTGTACTAGATAAAGATTGAAAAATCCTCGAGTACTTGACTACCACATCCTGCGAGGCCCCCGTGCCTGCCAATCGTAGAGTTTCTTCGTTACCTACCAACCCTTTACCTGCATCATTCTTGGAGGTTCAGTGTTGCTTCATCCTGGTTGTCAGACTTGCGGCCTTCGTGTTGATGACCAGCTAAGGGGTAAAGACCTGGCTGCAGGCCCGCGCTACCGAACAACTCTTGACTGGGTTGGTGGTGGAGACCACCCTAGCCATGAGTCGGATTTTATAGACCAGCGACGCGGCTGGCCGTGTTGGTTTTGCCGGTGGTTTTTGAACCCGCGCAGTCAGGAAGCTGCTTGGTTTCGGTTGCCGCGGGGTTGTGGTAAGGCATGGGACTCCGGGGTTTTTACGGCTGTGCGAAGTTTCCGGTCAAAAAAGGGACAGAGGTTCGGGCAGGCAGAATGCAAGACCGAACGAGCACTCTTCTGTTCAGAATCCAATTGATGGGGTTCCAAATCCCTGCGGTTGGACCCTTTCAGCCAGGCAAGTTTTGCCACGTCACCAGCTCTGGGGGCCCTGAGGCCCTTGGCCCTTCCCAGAAAGGCCCTGATGGCAGCAAAGGCTTGCCCTGACCCGGGCTGGTCAGGCCCCCCGTTGTGACCAAGACTCTCAAACAGATCACACCAGCGATCACGTTTGCAAATTCGGTGCGACATTAAATGGATCATGACCCAGGAGTCACATGATCGCCATGACTGCGCAATATGATGCAGTCATGTTCCACTGTTTCCATGAGAGGCACTTGCCGAAGCACTCAATCCAGACAGCTGGCCGCCGCAACCTGACATTTTCCGCTGATCTGTCCGAAGTGCCCTGGCGCTTTGCTCTGCGCAGCGCAAGGCTTGCCGGGAGGGGCCTCAAGACGCTCAGCTTGGCTGCTTGCAGCATCGGAGACGTTCGCATCTCAGTTTCCATGTCGAAGCCGCCGTGTGCTGCCGTGCACCCCTCATGCAGGCTGGATGCCAAGCTTTGATGGCCGCGGCTCGTGACTACCAGGAGCCTTCCCTGCAATTGGAAATTGCGTGCCTCCGCAGAGCTGTCGGTCATGCTCGTGGTGTGCAAGTGTGAAGGTATTGACATCTCTTGATTTGTCCTGCAACTCCATTACGGATGACTCTGCTCCTGCAGTGTCTTTGGTGGCAGCCCCTGTTCTCCATGCAGCTGTCGTAGTCAGTGGTACTTTCGAGCATGAGGTGCTTGCTCAGCCTACGTCTGCTTTGGAGTCCTTGTCTCTCTCCATGAACTTGCTCAGCACGGCCCTCAGCTTTTGCCGCATGGGTCATGGCGATGCCTCTTCGTGATTTTTCATAGGCTCGTTTGGCATCTCGCAGCTCATGGACGGCGTACCCTTCGCAGCATTAGACAGTTCGTTTGCGACAGTTCATATGCATGTGTCTATATCTGCAGGTTCGCTTGAAGGTTGGAACAGGAGAGTGGGTGGCGGTTTTGTCTAGACACATTTGTCTGGATGTTCAGCTTTGTGCCTTTTGTGGGAATTTATGTGGGCATTTTGGTACCTGCACTTTGAGCTCAGAACACTTAGAAGCCAGCAATACGGCGTCACAAGTCGCGAGTCAAAGTCGGTTCTCGGACGGGCCTGTAAGAATTATCTTCGCTTCTTGCAACGCAACATTGTGTGTGAACTGTTTTGTGTCGTATCTTCTGCTGGTACAAGACATGTGGATATTTCTCGGCGAGCCACTCTTCCGCAATCAATCCTCTGGTCGGGATTATCCTGTGCCTTTGCCAACTTGGTTCGTATGACACTGTCTTCAAGCATTCCTGGCACTCACGCTCTTAGCTTGTTCACACGTGCCGCACCTTTGCCGGAAGAACCTTTCATTTTATGCTGCGCCCTTCGACATTCAATGAGCAGTGCAGACCAGGCAGTGTGGGAGCACGGACAGTAAAGCATGCCGGCGCAGTGCCCTGGGTTCCCAGCGGAGTCAACGTAGAATCGGGCAAGTAGCACGAAGCCGCCTCAACGAAGATGGAGGGTTGTCTAACAACGGACCTCATTAATAGGAAGCTAGAAAGTGAAAGAACACGGCTAAAGAAAGGACAAACTACAACCATGCAGCATTTTGAGACACTCGACACTACAGGTTGCCAGCAACATTGAGGGTGCCTTGTGCCAGATCGATGTGTCAACACAGGCTCTCTAGCTTCTGCTGCAGTGTGGTGAAGAGTCTGGATGCTGTGGCAGATCCCTTGGTTTCTTCATGGTTTCTCGACGTGATGCCAGGACGGTGGCCAAGGGAAGACCAGCTTCGTGGCCAACGATGCATTGAGCCAGTCACTTTGGCCTCGTCGACGAAGCATTCCAAATCCTTGCTGCACAACGTTGAAACCAGGTCCTCGAAGCAGCAGCAAGGCATGTTGGGTTGCTGTAGATCTACACTCTATGCATGTTCATGGAGCCTGAAGCACCTTCATGCAGGTAAAATCCAAGTTCCAAGGCCTACGCTGAAAGGAGGCAATTGCTTGCTGTGTCATATGTGGTGGGATCAGCTATGACCAGCTGAAGAGTGATGACACATACTCTGTCGCAGTGCTACACGATTGCATGGTTCTGCAGGGCTTGTGCTTTTTCCTGTTCATGTCAGGCGAGGGCATGGGACATCTATTGTACAGATCGCTCAGTTCTCGAGCTGCAAAATGCGGCTCGCTGCAGCATATCCTACCAGGTACCAAGCCCCACCACATAAATGTGAGAATCATTGCAAGCCTGATGTTGTATGAATGCTTGCCACCATGGACTTGGCCTGCACTAGTGTCGATACGTCCAGAAGACCATCCGATCGAGAACGCAATGGGAGCTCGAAAAGATGCTGCGCTGTGCATGTTCATTTAGTACCCTGTTCAGGCCGAGCAAGGAGAACTGAGCATGTGCGGTGTGTAGCACGGAAGGGCCTCTAAGCGTTGATCCCGCGACGGAGAGCATGTAATTTGTCAGCTACAGGTTGTCCAGAAACCCGTTGCAGCCTGATTTCTGCATATTTCTGCGAAGGAAGCGGCTGACCTTTCAAAGTGTCAGTGGCACATACTATTACATGCCACATTCCTTTGTGAAGAGCATAAAGAGCCTTCGGGCTCTTGCAGGCTCCGCGAAAACTTCTGGGCAACGTGTCGTAAACCCTAGCCGAGATTACTGTCGAGCTCAACGTGTGTCTCGGGTGGACGTCTGCCTGGGTGTTAGGTGTTGCGGCTCGTTTCTAGGACGCGGAATGCTCCGGCGCGTTGTGGTTTGATCGGAGCCTGAACATGGATACTGCACACAGGATCCTCATCTGCAACATGTTCAAACCGAAACGAGGTCCCCGCATGATCCCTCACTGCAGCGGGCTTGTTTTCGTCCCGCTCCCAAACTGGGGTACTCACCGTCGGCCATTGACGCACAAACTCGAACACGCAAGCCCCTTGCCTTTGCGACTGCGGATTCAGAATATTTCGCAGGCGGGTTCTGTCTAATGTCAGCAAGGCCTGCTTTTCATAACTCGTTTCGCTTCCTTTCTCCTGGTTTTCGTCACAGGCGAAGGCGAGCCTTTGGAAGGTCTCTTGAGGTTCCTGGCAACTGTGAGAGGCATTGCCGACAGCTGTTACTCTCCACAGAGTGCGATAGAGAGAACACTTCTTCAATGAACTGCATGGAAGTGTTGCAGAGCAGGGTTTTCGTGTTGACTTTTGCGCGTTTTTGGATGTGCCATGGAGGTCGTATTCAGAACTATGTCCGAGCCAAAACACCATCCCCAGAGCCGAGTGCAGAAGTTTGCTATAAGCCCAGACCAGAGCCTTGTACAGTAGTACTCATCTCTGCAAAATGAGGTAGCCAGGTAGCCGCCACTACTACAAGTCCTGACCTGTAAAGGTGCCGTGTGGATATGGGCCGATGTACATGCCATGGTCCTGCCAGTCCAATCGTTGACCCAAGTACAAGTGCCGATCCTCATCCTTTGCTGCATTCACCAGATGGTCGAAGCATGGTGCACATGTTCTGCCTATCGCGGCGGCAGCGAAGAGCAGGCCTCGTGGGAGGTTTGATTGCCAGCGCCGGGTAATGTGCTCTGGCAGGACTTCCATTGCTCTTTGGCATGCTCTGCCGGCACAGCCTGCCACGAGCATGGGGTCCGCCCCCGCAGTTCCTCCAAAGTCTGCGCACAGAGCCGAGAGGAGCTGGCTGGAACCGTGCATCTTCCAAGAAAGTTGGAGTAGGACCATCGCATGACTTACAGTTCCCGTTCCTCTGAGCTTCTCCCCCCATGCCAAGATTTTCAGCTCCGCAAGATTTCGTGCCAGGCTGCCGGTCAGTCTGGAGCTGAGAGCTAAACGGCAAGCCACCGGCAACTGTCGTCCTTCGCAGAGCTCGGCCGTCGGCTCTTTGCGTAGTCAGGCAGTCAGACAATGCCAGGTACCAAAATCGCGTCTTGCCAGAACTTTAAGCTGCACTAGATTCGGTTGAACACTCGTGAGTGGTTTGCTTCGCAAGAACAACATGTAGCAAATGTAGCCACCGGGTGCTAGCTGCATGTCATCCGTGTCAGCCCACACAAGCTGCTTTTGCGCGGGAGTTGCCGTTGTAACGAAGTGTGGGGCCTTCCTCATACGTCCTTCAGTGTCAGCACTCAGCCTGGGCGGTCGGCTGACTAGTAAATCGCCAGCCCAAGATCGCGCATACAGCCTGCTGGCTTGTGCTGCGATGTACGGATTGGCACAGAAACGGCGTCAGAAAGTTGCTGTGGTCGGAGGCGGCCCTGCGGGCATGACGGCAAGCAGGTATCTCGGTGAGTTTGGCCACAGTCCGGTGGTTTTCGAAGCTGCAGATGAGAGTGGTGGAATATGGGCCCCACGGCCCAAAAATCGTGTGGTGTATCGTGGCTTGGTAACCAACATTCCCACCATGTGCATGCAGTCCTTCGATCTGGATTTTCCCGAGGGCCTCACTAGCTACATAACTGGTCCCGAGTTGGGGAATTACTTGAAATTGTACACAGACCACTTCAACCTGAGACGGTTCGTGCGCTTCAGCACCACTGTGAAGGCGGTGGTGCCGATGAAGTCAACAGAGGAAGAGCTCGACCAAGGCCAAGGTGCCTGGCAGGTGACATGGGAGGATCCCGACTCGACCGGCACCGAAGTCTTCGATGCTGTGGTCGTGGCCACAGGCCACTACGAGTTCCCATACGCACCAGAAATTCCCGGACAAAGTGAATGGCTTGCGGCAGCAGGCCATCGAAGAGTAGTGCACGCGATTTCCTATGATGACCCGGACGAATTTAAAGGCCAGTCGGTGTTGATTGTTGGCGGACGGTCTTCAGCAGTCGACATAGCTCGAGAGTTGCGCAGCAGGGTTTCATCGCTTTACGTGCTGGACAAGAGCTGCCGGCAAACGGACGGTATCGGAATGTGCTTCCATGTTCCATTTGGAGCCAGGTTGTCAGAAGATGGGCTTGTCATGGTAGAGGGTGCCGCGCTCTCCGGAGATCCAGTGGACACCATCATCCTGGCGACCGGATACACCTACCAGTATCCTTTCCTCGATGAGAAAGACGTGGGATTGACCTTTGGATCTGAGAAGAGGTACGTAGCCCCGCTGTACCAACACGTTATTCATGCACGCCGGCCGAGCCTTTCGTTCGTGGGCATTCCGCTAGCAGTGCCCTGTCCGGTCCCACTCTTCGAGGCTCAGTCTTATTTTGCAGCATCACACCTCACCGCCCCGTGGACAACTGAACACGAGCGTTTGCAGTGGGTGGACGCGTGCTTAGAAGCAGTGGAGAGCATCCAAAACTTGCATTTCCTATCTGGGCAATCCTGGGACTACATGACAGGTCTTCTCAAGGAAGGAGGAATGGAGACAGAAGAGCATGAAAGGTACGTGAGGCGCCTCCGTCTGGTTCAGGCTATATACCAGGATCGCGTGCAGAGGAGACCCGATAAACCCTGGGATGATGATGAGTATCGACGCTGCGAGTACAAAGCTGACTATGACGACGACAGCTTTCAGGTCATGACGCCCGATGGTTCTCTCAGTCGCGGGACATCGAAGATGTAGGCCGCGGAGGTTAGAAAGCCAACAATGCAGAGGCTTTTGCTCGCGAGATGGAGACTGCTGAGCGGCAGCGACCAGCTGTGACTAGGTGGCAACAATAGCTTCAATCATGACGGCTTTGGGCTGTGAGGCCTGGTGCGAAGTGGATCCACTTGGCGAGCCCACATCTCGTGCGGGAGTCTCCAAGAGCTTAAGCTCGACTGACTAGGTTCGCTCTCGCCCAGCAAGAAAGAACCTGGCACCTAGGTCGCCCAAGCAAGTCGGGGTATGATTATGGCCTGGGTTGCCTGCGATTCTGGGAGGCTATGATGTCGCCAAGCAGATCGGGCAACTGCTGCGCTCCAAGCGCTTTCGTTGGAGACGTGCGGTCTGCGTTTGGGGCGTGAGAAGCCCGAGGCGCTGTACGTGCAAGCCAGAGGCATCCTGTGCAGGCCCTGGTGCAGTGGTCATTAGCTGATGCCGGATTGCAGAGTCCTCCCTGCCATCCCCGTCGAGAGGCAGGTGAAACAGCACACATCCTCTCCATTGCTACCGAGTACCGACAAGAGGCACGATCCTGCCAGCCATGTGCGCAACACTTTGTCGGATTTTTTCTGCAGGCAGTCATCCTGCAGAGGTCTGCTGGACTCCTGGGATACAGGCGTGGAGTTTGGAGCAAAAGCACGTTAGTGCAGAGCCTTCATGCCGCCACCTGGTGAGACGACAGCACTGAAGCTACTTACTGTGCTCGACGTTCCAGGTTTCAATTCTGCGGCTTCCGGGCTGCTCTGGCTTGCGTTATCTTCCGGTGCAAGAGAGTTGCACCAAATCCACAACAGGAACGCTGGGTCGGCTGGGGCACGAAGCTGGTTCAGTATCGGAAGGTCCAGAGCTTACAGCACTGTAGCTGTGGAGGCATAGTCATAGTCCAAGTGCTCAGGCACTGGAGAAAGGCTTGGCAGGAGGACGGATTGCTCCCGCCTTGACATCGGCCTTACCTTTGATTCTCTCTGTAACCGGAGAACAAAGGCGGCGACCGATCCTGTGCTGTTGATCGACGGCTGGGATTGTGGCTTGCTCAGCTATCGGAGAATTGATCTGAAGCCAATTGCAGTTGGAATTCAGAGACTTGCGAGCGGTTTCCGGCTCAGTTTTGCATGCTTTTTTGAGCAAGCTTATTCGCACAACGAAGGGCGTGATCCAATCTTCACACTTCGGTGGGTGAAAAGTTTTGTGTTTTCAGATGAGCTGCCAGTGTCTGTTGGCTTGCGCTCGCGTCGGCCCCATCCAAAACAGAACGGGAGGGCGGTCGGCAATTTCTGTTTGGCCCTAACTGGAGAGATGCGAGGCATGCTGATCGGACCAGCTTCTGAGTTAACCTGGCTCGCTTGACAGTTCGACGAAGCTTCTCACATTGTGAGACGGGTGTCGGCTTCATGGCGACAGGTTCATTCAGAAAATGTCTTCGCCTCCCTTCAGTGAGGGTCACCAGCCATGGTATGCAGGCTCGCATGCTCACTGACGCAAGCAGAGTGATATCACACGCACTAGGTCCTGTGAAATCTTCTCACATTGCAAAGGTGAGAGAATATGCGGACCCGATTTTTTCAAGGCAGCCTGCTTTGTCGAGATTGCTGGACTCGCACACCACACATTCAGGAGTCTCATCTGCCAAGCGGGCTTGTACCTGCTTTAGCATGCATGGCCGAAAGAAGACAAAGGCTTTGGCACACCGCTGAGTCATGAGCAAAGACGGCTGTCCGGCACGAAAGTAGTTAAGTTGTTAGCCGCCAGTAGCACTGCACAAGAGGGGGCTGCCGTCGGCGGGTCTCCTTTTCGGCGGTCCGTGTGACTGTCTCTGTGTGTGTGTGTGTGTGTGTGTGTGGAACACCTGTTTGCCAAGGTTTGCTGATATGCATTATTTTTGCAGGGGGGCAGTGGACATACTGGAAGGCACTGCCCAACGAAGACCTTTCCAGTTTGTCGTGATATGGATTGGGGACGCTCAATCCACGTACCTGCTTAGTTTTTTCAAGTCTTTTCCGATGGCAGGGGCTAAGCCAAGAACCCCAAAAGATGATGATACTGCCTAGCGGCTTAAGATCCTTTACCTCGGTGTGGAGAGATTACATCAGTCCAGAGGGAGGATTGCACGAGTGTGCTCTAGACGGCTTTCGTCGATCGTGTCGTCTACGGTAGGGTAGCGTACTGCCTGGCCCTGATCGGCCCAGTCAAAATCACAGGACCCTGATCGGTCCAAGCCCTGATCGGCTTCAACCCAAAGCAAGACCTCTTGGTCTCAGAAACTCGAAAATGCTCTACGGAGCAATCATCTGCAGTTCAGGGCTTGATTGCCTAGTTACAGGCAGGACTGATGCCCTTTCGTTTCACAACAGCCGTCAGTCTGATCAAGCAATTGTTCTCCCCTGGACAACTGATTTCGCCATGGCCTCCTGGTCATCATGGTCTAACAGCGACTCCAGCAACAGCTGGGACAACAGACAGCAATGGAATCGCTGGAGCAAAGAAGACAAATGGGACTCCAAATACTCTGAGAAATCGTGGGAACATGTAGCCAGCCCCACATATCAAACTTTTTCTCTGCCGTCCTCTTTTGTTTCGGACGAGCAGCACTACGACAAGACCCCTTTGGGCAAAGGTGCCCATGTGCTGCATAAGTTGGTTCAACCGACAGAGTGGTCTCGCAAAGCTGGGTTAGCTGGCCGTGATGTCAGCGACATCCGTGCCTTTGAGCTTGCTCATCGAGGCCTTGGAGATTTCTCATTTCGTTTGCTGTCGGAAGGACGGCATCAGAGTATCGTCTGGGCTCGAAGTGGCCAAGAATCGGTACTCATTACGGCATTGCTGAAGAAGCTTCGTGAGAGTGGTGTTTCTATCGATGAGGCAGCAAAAGCTTGCCACAGCACAGCTCCTCCAGACAAGCATAAGGAGGCAATGCGATTCATGGAACCGCTTGCTCAAGAAATTCTGAATTGTGTTCTGGCCAAAGCGCCTCCACCAAATTCGGATGCTTCTGAAGAGCTCGCCAAAGCCAAAGCCAAACTGGCTGAGCATGGCATTGCAATGTCCCCTTTGAAAAGGAAAGCAACTGAAGATCCTGAGCCAGACTCAGGAAGACGGGCGAAGCCCGCCATGCCTATTGCTGAGCCGGAATCCCAGATTGAAGCTGAACAGCTTCTTAAAGATCCACAACGAAAGCTGGATACTCGTCCCAAAGGAGCCACAGATGACCATGTCACTGAATGGCTGGCTACCTACAAGAACAAGCCAGAGTTTAAAGGCAAGTACCAGTTGCTGGTTAAGCATGTACAGACTGTTCAGAAGCTTCTCAAAACTGAAGCATCTAAAGATCAACTGGTTGCAGCTGCTAAAGAGTTTGGACTGGATCCAAAGCTGGCATCCAGGCTGTCCATCAAGAATTTGTCTACGGTGATTGCTGTTGCACAGTTTCAAACTGCTTGACTAGCAGTTCAATGCCAACATCTTGCTGCTTCAAGCAAACAAGGAATAAAGCAGCAAATTTGTATGTTGGGAGAGGCTGTGACGTTCTTTTTGCACCATTGTCCGGGCTTCAACAAAGAGTCTGCACTGTGGGCCCAAGGCCTGCTTCATCTTCTGTTGCTATTTTACTTTCAAGAAGGTTCTTCGTCGTCGTATGCTGAGACTATCCGACAGAAGCTTCAGCAGTTCCGGGTGCACCCTGCCACATACTCATGGCCGAGATTTCAATCTCAGAATGCGGTGTACATGAAAACAGCAGTGGACTGGCGCCATTTTTCAAGTATTGAGCACTACAGGCAGCCTTCCACATTCATGTACATAGGCTCCACCAGCCAATCAGTTTTTCGAAGAGAATCTAACAGATTCTCAGTTGCCAGGAAGCTGGCAAGCGGAGGTGAAGCTCAGGCCGAGCTAGCCATCCGATACTGGGTGTCCAATCAGTGTCTTGAGCAGTATACTTTGTTTCTCGTTTCTCCATGCTCAACTTACAAGGAAGCATGGGTGACTGAGCACTGCTTAATTGGGATGTGGCAGCCCAAACTGAACCACCCGTACATTACTTCCTTTTTGAAAAGAAGTGCATTGGGCTTTAGACCCAACAAGAGAGTCCGACATAGTGTCTCTTCTAGGTTCGGGTTAAGGCTGTGGAGAAAACTGAGAAAGAAACTCCACAGACAACTTCAACCCGTTCCTTTCCAGCTCAAGAGAAGGTCGGCATGGGAGATATTATTCAATCTTACATGCTTCAGCCGTGCCCCCTTTGAAGAGGCAAAAAAGCTGCGAAGCGACCGATACCTTCCTGATGAGATTTATTCCCTGATTCGGTTGAGCAACTGCCTGGAGGAGCCTGCCAAAAGTAAGGCCAGGAAGGTGCTCAAAGGCGTGTGTCAGTTTCGCAACATGTCTTGGCCTTCGGCTACCCTGGGCTTGCAGCTGAAATTCACAGCATCCCCAAGCTTCGGATCAGATGTTTCCAGATGGATCCGAAAGCTTGTATTGGCACACAAGCCGATTCTTATACCTTTTCATTTACCAGCGTGCAAAGTCAGAGAGCAACCTCATCAGTCTCTCAAGGACTTTATGCACAATTTCAAAGACTGGGACCAATGGCTACAGAATCATTGTGTTGCTGATGCACCGTGTCCTTGTCGTTACTATACCAAACTGCTGCCAGAACAGTGCCTCACTCGAGGCCATGTTGTAGCCGGTATAGAACAACTAGGAAGCCTTCACCGCTCCTTTGAGAAACTAGGGAGTGGCAGTGCATCTTGAGCGTTTTTTCCTTCCAAAGGAGAATTTTTCAATCACAACACCCGTATGTTTGCGTCTTGGCGGCGCAAGCATTGTTTTCCCAAGGGTGTGGATCGAACATTTGAGCAATTTCTCGAGCAACAATGGAGCAAACACCTCGATCACCTGAGTCAAGAAAGTCGGCTCACGTGGAGAGATGTCTCTGCTGCTCGCGACTTACTGCACCGACAGTTCATTGTGCATTGCGAAGACCATGAGCCGAATCATCTTATGGTCTTCTGTCCCAGATTCTATCTTCAGGCTGCCATGAAGACCTGGCAGGATCCAGATGTTTTCGAGCCTGTGGAAGGCTCCCAAGAACTCTGGAACCAGAGAGTTTTCCAACAGATTCCCGGCATACTGAAAAGAAGATATCGCTGGGGAATCAATGCTTCTGGCACCTTACCAACGGGGTTTGTCTTTCTCAAACGAAAGAAAGAATTTTTGAAAGTGAGGACGATAATATCGTACTCCAACAGCTGTATCAAGAAGTTGTTGATTGCAGCGGCGCAAGCGATTCTGTTGATGGTTCGCTTGGTGTGGCCTGAAGCCATGGGCCTAGCCACTACTCCCCAACTTTGGAAGAAGCTGCATCAGTTTCTTCGCCGCACCCCTCCTACGGTGCACCTCGCTGAAATTAATGATGACCTAGTGGGATTTTTCAACTCTGTCCCCAGACAGCAAATCCTGGAGTCTTTGTCAATGCTTGTACAGCTGTATCACGACCAGGAGTACCCTCCACACATTACGGTATCCCTGAAAAAGCAACCCAATTGTGAGTCTGCTTGGCCAGGTAAACCCATGGCAAAGGGAGCCAAACACATAAGATTTCTTCATGTTTCTGACCTGACTGCTATTGTACAGACCTCTTTTCAAGCAGGAGTGTTCACCACTCTTGGTCTGTTGTTCAGGCAACACCGGGGCACATGTATAGGCAATCAAATCAGCCCGGTCCTCAGCAGTCTTCCAGTGATTCAAAGAGAATCATGTTGGCAAAGAGAATGGCATCAGTTCCTGAATTCAGCTAGGTTCTTTGACAACCAAGCCTCGGAACTGTTTGTCTGCAGGTATGTTGATAATCGACTTGTGGTGTGCGACGAGAACTTTCTCTCGCATCAATGCATGAAAGATTTTCAACACCTCTCTTTTTATGGAGGAACTATCCAGCTGGAGGAAGTTACGAACCATCAATTTCTGGGCTTCCGGCTCAACATGGCCAACAGAACTGTGACCTACCTGCAACCAGACAAAGCCTGGTCCATCAGAAATCCAAGATCTGCAGGTAGCTGGTCCACCCGAATTTCAGGCTATCTTTCTCGGAAAGCTTTGATTGTACAGTATGCATGGCCTCCGAGCAGCCGTAAACAAACACTGCAGGGACTCCGCGACCTGTACATAGCTAAGGGTTTCCCTGCAGAATTGCTGACCTGACAGTGTCAAAATTCTGCCTTTGATGCTCACTGAGGGATTTCGTATCGGTGTGCAGTGGCATCCATTTCCATTACGTTGAGCTTGGATCTTGGAAGCTCTTGTAGTTGGCATCCTCTGTGCCCCTGCCATGGCTTCCTATGTGTTTCAATTCTTCTGTGGTGACACCCTGAGTAAGGGAGGATCCAAAGGAACCAGCCCTTCAGCACCTGTTTTGTCATTGCCGGCTCCGGTGGAAGAGCCACATCCTCATCCACGGCCAAGACCAACCCGGTCGCATCGTGGACGATACCCGTCCAGATCACCCTCTCGGCGTCGTGAAGAAAGGTCCCAAGGAAGATCAAGGAGGCATCGGCGAAGCCGAACACCTCCTAGGAATCAGCCGAGGAGGGAAGAGCCAATGTATCCACCGGGCAATTGGCGAGCACCAGCGCCTTGGGTTCCCCCGCCGAGGCCATTTCTGCTGCCACACACTGCCTCACAGCCTCCACACCATGCTCCCCCGGGGAATGTTTCTGCAAGCTGGTTTCCACCACCGCCGCCGTTGCCGCCTCCTTCTACTATACCTTTTGCGGCTCCAGATTTAAGGCGGCCAGCCGTGCCTCATACACCACCGAGGATGGCCAGGCCCAAAAAGGCACCAGAACCGGTGGTGCCAAAAACGCACACCCCAGCAGCTGATCTCCCGGACCCTAGTAAGCAGTCCAAGCCCGCAAAGAAAGGGCCATCGATTTCCAACCAGCTGGCTCCAACGGATACCCAGCAACAGACTGATGATCAATTTTTCGGGGCCTCATGTCTGCCAATATCAATGATGTGGAGGATCAGCTGGAAATCCAGCTGTCAGGATTTTCAGCAGTGGATCACATTCCAGGTGGTATGACCACTCTGAGCCAGTACCTCTTCTATCGTCAGCAACTTCTGACTGCACCATTTCCGCTGGCAAGCACTGCGAAGCAATGCAGCCCGATCAGCACTGGTTCGCAAGTACCAGCGCCCTTTCTCGTCTCTCAAAGACCCAGAGAGACAAAGATGTGCTCGGTTTTTGCTCAGTTTGTTTCCAGAGCCGGTGCCACCGAACACAATTGGCACAGAAGAATTTTTCGGCTTCGTAGACTGCATTTTGCAGTCCAGACTCCGCTATGAGAGGCACTTCGAAGAAGGTGCCTCAATGTTTCACGATGTGGAAGAAAATGTAGTTGGCTATCGGTTTCGGTGTACAGGCTTTCCCGGCCCGCCCCTGGCCCAGCAAAACTGGCATCTTTGGGCACATGCCACTACAAGGGAAGGGGTCACAGGAATTTTGGCTACAGGCAAGATCCTCCCTACGGATCACAGTGTAGCTGGCCTGGAACCTCAAGAGGATACATTTTCCTTCTATGGCAGAAGCACAACAAACCCCAACTGGGGTGCAGGAGTTGTACAGCTCGCCTGCAAGTGTTACCACTCAACTAAGAATTGTTCTGGAGTGGTTTTTGCAGGCCTACTGCCCAGCAACCACATCAAAGGCAAGAATGCATGCACCAGATATGAGAACAATCTGGCCAGATTTCATGCTTTGGTCCACAGCTGTTCTTCGGACAAACGGTGGGCAATTCGGTTCGCGGCAGCTCGAATTGATTTTATCTTCGTTCTTTCAGAACGAAGCAAAGCTGACTACCCTCAGCATCAGAGCCGACAGCGCCGTAGAACTAGAGCCAAAGCTGTCGGCAATGAGCCTACTTTGGCTTTAGCAGATGGCCCTCCAGACGACACCTGGGGCCCATGGGGTATTCCAACAGCCCCTAAGATAGAGCTGCCAGATGCAGAGGAACCTGAGGCAGAGAACCTCATGGCAGCAGCGGCAGCTTTTTCAAATGCTTCGATTGCCAGCTGATTTAATTCGTCAAGCAAAAATATTATGCATGCTGATTGTGCGCAGTGCTCAATGTTGCAATATCCTGCATATGCAAATCTATGCTGGGATAAACGATCACATGAGAAAGCCTTTGGCTCCCATGAGGTCTGGTGTGTGCAATAGCCATGGATCGAGCTGTGGAGTATCGGCAGCCTTCCCCTGTTTCATCGACGTCTTCGTGGCATTCTGCGTTTGATCCTCCTGAGGAAGTTCGGTCTTCCCGTGAGCAGAACCACAGTCTCAAAGCCGAAGCTTCTCGCAAGAAAAGCAAGAAGCACAAGTCCAAGAAATCCAAAAAGATTTCAAAAGACAAGGATCGAGCAGGTGTGAAACATTCTGCTGCTGCCAACGAAGAAATAACCACCTCCCGTGTTATGACAACCGGTGACGTGGTACTTGATGCCATTTGCAACAGCAAACCTGTTTCACCCTCTACTGGAGCCAACACCACGGTATACAAAGGTAGAGGAGTAGCCAAAATGATGGCTCGGAGCGGTTTTAGGTGTACATGCCATTATGTGCGTGCCCATCTTTGTCCAGTCAGGCTCATTGCCGAAGAATTTGGTGATGGGACATCCGTTTACACTCCTGAGTAAAGCCCATTACAGCTTTCTCTTGTCATGTAAGCGAACAAAAGAAGGTCGTCTCTGTACAGCGATTTTCTGCGCCGAAACCCTGCAACATTCTTTCATGAACTGCAGGCTACCTCGGCTTCAATCAGTAAACCATTCTCTCTAAAAGCCACATGTCGGCCCTTTCGTTGGTTATGTCCGAACCTGCCCTTGTGGCGAGAGTGGTCTCTTTTGTCTCATCGCGAAAGCATATCTAAATCTTCTACTTCAATCCGGCCTTTTGGACCGAAGAAGATCGCGATCAACTTGAGCTTGATGATTCTTCTCAATCTGAATCAGATGAGCCCTATCCGGACAGTGCGGCTCGTGTCATTTCTGATCGCATACGTCAACGTTTTCGCTCTGTGTTACCTGCTGATACTTCACTCGCGCTTGGTAGCCTCAATTATGGTTCCATTCGCGAACATTTTGTACAAAAGGAGTGCCCAGCACAGCCACCCGGATGGCCCAACGTACTTTATGTACCTGTGATGTACAACTCGGCACCAATGCCACAGACCACCTTTTATGGTGCGGTAAACCGAGTCTTCCTTCGTTCAGTTCTTTACCTCTATGAAGGGACATTGTACATTGCTTTTCGGCAATTGCTGCTGCAATCTCAGCAGAAGGCCATCTTTTTTTGATTGGCTCTGCACCGGACGCGAAGATCGTTTTCGCGTGAGCTCTACTCTCATCGCTGATTTGAGAGTTTTCCGTGTCATTTCACCTCTGGCTAACATGCCATAGTCATCCTGCAGCAGAACAACATCGCAGTCTATCATTGCTCGTTGTTTCTGCTGCTCTGCTTGTCGCTGAAGTTTTTTCCCGTAGTTTGTGGCTTTCAGTGGAGATTAGTGAGTACATCATGTCGGACCGGAGCAGATCTCGTTCTCCGCAGATTTCGTGGCGTTTCTACTGGTCTAAAAGCACGACAGCTGATGGTCAAGACCGTTGGTGGAAAACGTGGTTCCCCGCCACACAACAGTGGATCCGGACTCGCCTTACTGCGGACAGTTTGTGGAGCTCAAGCACACACCTGCCTGAGACCACCAATGCTCCCTCCAATCGCACTGATTGCTCCGAGTCTCCTCGGAAAAGGAAGAGGAGCACTTCTCCGTGAAAGTCATTTTTGCATGTTTAATTCGATCTTGCCAGCATCCATGCTGGCCATCATTTTCGTTAACAGTATGTAAGGCTGTGTACCCATTAATGGGACTCGCCACCACCATTGTTCGGTGTTGTACAAAATCCAGACGCTGTTAGTAAAAAATGCACTGCTGTCTGTCTACACTGTGCTGCCATCAAAGGCTACCCCGCTTAGCGGGGTGTGTGTGTGGAACACCTGTTTGCCAAGGTTTGCTGATATGCATTATTTTTGCAGGGGGGCAGTGGACATACTGGAAGGCACTGCCCAACGAAGACCTTTCCAGTTTGTCGTGATATGGATTGGGGACGCTCAATCCACGTACCTGCTTAGTTTTTTCAAGTCTTTTCCGATGGCAGGGGCTAAGCCAAGAACCCCAAAAGATGATGATACTGCCTAGCGGCTTAAGATCCTTTACCTCGGTGTGGAGAGATTACATCAGTCCAGAGGGAGGATTGCGCGAGTGTGTGTGTGTGTGTGTGTGTGTGTGCAAGGGTGCGTCCTTTGTGGCACCCAGACAGCTCCTGCAGTCTCGTGTGACACGGGTGACGGATTTCTGTCTGGCTGCGCAGAAGCTGCAGCTGTGCGAAGCTAGGTGTGAGAACTAGACCCAGTTGTTTACTGCTGCTGTTGTTGCAGCTGTTGCTGTGGCCCAGCGGTGCTGCATCTGCCTGAACGTCCAAAGATGCTTTTGGAATTTTCCACCACACTTCTCGACGGGAGGTGGATCGGAATCGTGTTCAAAACTCTGTCAGATGGTGCCGAAGACTCACCAGATGGCTTCGCAGCTGTTCATGTGCCTTCTGCAGACCGCACTGGCAAACTTCGATTGAGCCTTTCTTGCAAAGCCAGATGGCATCATCAATAGTTCGAGATGCTGGGGGGGGGGCGGGTGCTTGATCTGGGGCACGCACACGTTTGGGCTGGAGTCAGATTCAAATCTCGTAGGTCAGGATGCGTTTTTCAGGTACGGTTGACACTGGCTGCGCGATCAACCAACCCTGGAATGGACTTCAGCACGCTGCTGCGATTCGTGTGCCTCCGCGAAAGGCGAACCGCATTGACGCAGTCTATCCTGACCCCGGGACACCATGGCGCTATCCGAATGCAGGCGAACTCGATTTCGAGTTTTTCTGCTATAAGATACTGCGGAGCCGGGGGAGGGCGGCTTTTGCTCCGGAAGGCTGCATGGCAGGCAGAGCCGTGGCCCTGGCTTGAGTTGAAAACTGCTCTGTCTGACTGCAAGCGGTGGAGGCAGAGCCAGTGCTCGAGCTCATCAAGGAACTGCTGAAGCATAAAGACACCTTCCCGGAAGATGGAGATGATCAGGACCTGTATGCGTCTGTCGGCATGGCTGCAGAGTGCTGAACGCGACTGCACAGGGAAGGTTGCATGAACATCTCCTAGAGCGAGGTTCGACACTCAGCCGCTCCCCGGGGTTGAGGAGCGAGAGCCGCTGCAAGTTCAGAGCATTGCCACTGGTAGCAGCTAGTCAAACATGTTCCGGACTGCGCAGCTCGCGCCAAGACTTGCCTAAGGTGAAAGTGGGCAAAGGCATGCACATGGATTGACTGCCGTTTTCACCTCGAGAGCCATGCTCCATGCGTGCAGTCTCCCCTACTTCGTGGACTCCGAGTGTCGCATCTTTCAATGTCTTTATGAGGCAGAGCCACAGCAATGCCGGCATGCTTCAAGGGGTCCTTGGCCAAATTGACTCAAATGGGACCGGGCATTTGAATCCAAAGGTGGCAGCTTGAAGCGGCGAGGGAAGGACAGCGCCTTCCGCGACTGCGGAACACCCAAACTGGTCAGCAGCCGCAGGAAGCCCAGAACCTTTTCGTGCACGGGGAATCCGCAGCATTGAAGCCTTGCTGCTGAGGATCGTGCTCCATGGCAATGGACACACGGGTCGCTGGTTCATGCTGGTCACTCACCATGCGTGCTTAAACTTCCTACATGTGTGCCCTTCGACGTGTTCTCCTGTCTTTGCATGTCCTTGCAGAAAGGTCTGGGCTGTGGCGTGAAATGGGCCTACTGCAGAAGGAGCCTTTCGCAAGTTTGTGTTGCCAGTTAGATTTCGAAGATGGCTGCGTCAAGATTCAGGTTGGCCTCACGATCGAGGAGCTTCGCCATCTTCCGCACGATGGGCCTGTGCCGCCTGGCACAGTTCCGGACGAGGTGCACGCATGGGCCACACAAAGAACCGCACACAGACTAGGTGAACTCAGCTGGATCTCGCAGCTTTCTAATGGTCCATGTAGTAAAGATGTTTTCGGTACAGAAAGCCTTCCTGTCGAATTAACAAACCACAGTGTGTTCTTATTTGCGACGGAGTTCAACTAGTCCAGGTCGTGCAACTACCGGTACTGAAGAAATATTGTCCTCTTTCAAGCGATTCTGGAGCAAACCAACTCATCCCAAACGTAGATGATATTGCACTGCGGCCTCGGCACATCGAAGCACCTGTGATCAAGTTTCAGCCATGCCTATGAAAAAGCTGCTGGTCAGCAAAGAGCACTTGTGCATGCTGCCTTCGCTGCAAACATCACGGCATGGAAAAGAGCCCTGACTGAGGTTTCGCATGACAAACACTGAGCTGAAGCTCAAGCGAGAGCGTGGGCCACCTAGGTGCTGTTTAATTAGTATGCAAATACGGCTGGAGAGAGCAAGAGAGACTGTGTTTGCGTGTGTCAAGGCATGATGGATGCGTTCAAGGCAGGAAAGGCTGCTTTGGAGGACCTGTTGGGTTGCCTGCAGTTTCGCTGGAGTTCCTTTGAGCCAGTTCCATCTTCAGGATTTGCGATTGCCGTACTTCCTTGCCTACGGATCTGCTCTGGCTGCCCTACGAGAGGGCCAGTTCCAGCCGCCGCTCAGACTATGTCTAAGCGACCAGGAACAGCTGCGTCAGACCACGACGAACACAGAGCCACCTCAGGTATGAAGATGACATTCATGTGGGTATCTATTCCTGGGATCTTGCTGCACTGCAGCGCCAGTGCACAGAATGCCTCTCAGCAAAACAGCTGAAGCTTATGCAATTGTTTTTTCAGCCTATGCCAAGGCATTCATGCTCCGTGCTTGCAGGTACAGCCAAGGAGCGTGACAGCTTGCTGAAATCAACGTTTGACAGGCCAAGCGTCTGTACGATGGTGGAAGTCAAACTGCAAGGTGCAGCGACGTGCAACGCCCTTCGCGCCAGGTTTGGGTTCGAGCCCGTACAAGAAATCGTCGACAACCCGCTGCAGGTTTGCTGTCAAACACTCGAAATTCGCTTGGCTGTATGCTGAAAGCGCCCACAGGCTTCAGCCGGCAATAATGTTCAGCAGAACCAGGCCAGAACTCCCAATGATACTGTAGGTGCCACTTATGATGCTATGGCGATGAGTCTGTGTAGAGGCGGTGGTCGTCTGTCCGAGATATTACATCGCAGAGGCAAGATTGCCTTTGACTTCGAGCTTGCATCGAATCAGCTGGAGCATTTACATGTCAAGGGATGGTCCGATGACATGGCCTTTCCCATCTTGTACAAGTTTACGCACCGGGAGAGCTTCGTACGTTTTGACATGATGGTCTCTGGGTCGCAAAGAAGTCTCTTGTGTCGCGGGGCCGCCTGGCTTTTCGCTCCGAGGTCTTTACGATGCAGTTTGGGCAACTCTGGGACTTTGCGGATGGTGGTGCGGAGACTTCATCAGGCCTCGCACTGTCACCGCCTTGTGTTGCCGCCGGGTCTCGTAGACCCAGGGGTGTTTGAGTTGTCAGGTTGGCGCTACAGCTCCCTAGTCGCAAGATGTATAGCAATGCCATGAGTTGCAGAGACTTAGCGGGACATGATGCAGGTTTGTTTGCACCACAGCCCGTGGAGTTCGAAAAAGTCATGACCTTCACCATGCCTGCCAAGCCACTGGAAGACCACTACGGGAAGCTCGACGGCAAAGCATCGTTGCCGATGTCTGCAGCTGTGGCCAGTCTGGTTGCAGCCTTTCCTGTTTGCCGTTAGAAAGCCGACATGTACCAAATAGGTCGAGGGGCAGCATGTTGCCGATCGCAGGTAGTGAACGAGGGAGAGACAGAGTAGAGTCATGCATTCGATGGGAGAGCATGTGTGCCTGCGGTGAAGTTTGATCTGGCAGGTTCCAGGTTGGACAGAAGGGGTGTGAGGAATACAGCAGCCACGCCGGTAGTGCAGCCCCTCCTTGAGCAGCAGTCTGTTGCTCGGCCCGGCCCAAACGACAGAGAAGTTTACCCGCCCCAGACTGAGAGTGATTTCTCCTTCTGTGGGAGGCTTTAGAGGGCTCTGGAACATGCGGCCCGCGTTTGGGGAACCCCCCTTCCTGCCCTTTGGACGATGCAAATTCGCGACTGGCGTGCTGGACACACGGGAGAGGATTTGGTATTTGCGGACTGCACCTTGTTCGATGCTCGAGGGTGGCTGGCAGCCCATGGGGACCGCCACAGTGCACCTGGTGGACAACTGTTCTGACAACCGCGGATTGCCTGATGGAGTGTCTGACAGCGATCAACTGCAACGGTCCGGACGTTACGCGCGCAGAGGCCGCTGCACCAGTCTCCTGCTAGCGCCGAGCCGGGTAGTGCGGCATGCTCACTACATTGCTGGTTGGGTTCACAATGTTCACAAAACAGCGCAAAGGAACTTGCTCCTCTGTGGCTTCTGCACGTCGCGTTGTTTCTGGTTTCTCCGGCCTCAGTGTACCCGTGATTTGGAGGAGGGAGTGGGGGAGAGCAAAGGACAAGGAAAATTTGAAGGCTTCTAGGCTGCTGTGCGATGTGGGCCATGTGGGTAGTTCTCTAAATCAGGGCCCCTGTTCAGGAAAGTAGTACGGCACCCTTATAAACGGGACCCTAAAAGGGACCCTAATTTACAGAACTACTAACTTGGCAAAGTTGACTAACTGTCGAAAAGGAAACCTCAAAGGCAAGAGAGGCTCCTGATGTATTTAACATAACAACCCCTGTCTGCTTCCGCAATCTCTTACGGGTACCATGTCTTTCTTGGAGCAGATCCCTCGTGGTTTCCTGCAAGCTCAGCATAGCTAAGGCCCGATTGGCACGTTCCGCGCGTCTACAACTACATTCAGAGCCTGTCGTGCTGTAAGAACCGCTGCCAAGTCCTCAGGCCAGGCCCTGAGCTTCGGAGTCGCTGTCTTTATCGAAGCTCGCGTCCTGCAGGGTCCATCCCTTCGATGCCCGCATGAGACGAGTGGAGCTCCCGCCGGCGCAGCCTTGGGAGGAGTTCAAGCCGCTTTGCTGAGCAACGGCACACCATGTTTGTCCGCGACCAGTGTGACAACTGTAGGGTTCGTGCTTGCGGCCACCCGTGTGCACACCCGGCACAGCCGCACGGAGTTCTCGCCACGGTGCCGTCAACTTCGTGCTCCGGTGACGCGTGTTCAATCGAAAGTGTCTCGAGGTCCCATCCGTGTGCAGCCGGCCTACAGCTAGCCTAGCGCAGATTCCTTTCTCATTGTCAGTCGGAATATCATCAAGGAGGGGTCTTGGGACCCCGAAGGAGGTCGAGCTTGGAGTACCATGTGTCTGTTTGGGGCTTTTGGGTCTACTTATACCGGCAGAAGTTGTGGTGCAGCTGCGTCTTGCGCTTCCTGCTCTTCTGCCAATCCCCATGTTTGGTCCAGGTCCTCTGTTCGACAATTTCGGATGCTGTACGCGAAGGCGATGGCAGCAGCATGCTCAGAAGACATCTCGGAGGCTGTGCTCCAAGCCTTCACCCGGCTCGGGCTCGTCGGGCGCTTTTTAAGATTTTAAGGACTCCGAGCATGAGTTCCCGGAACAGAAGCTCGATCTCTACAAGTTGGAGTCGAAGCCAGTGGTGCTTTTCCAGGCTGCTAGCATGTGTCTCTCGCCCGAAATTGTTTTGTAGGGAACCTCAGACCAGATGCAGAGATTTGTGACGGATCTCCCAAGGCAAAGAGGAGGGTAACGCTCCTTGCCTGAAGACTGGCAAGATCGTGTCGCGATGCAATCGCTCTGCTACGTCGGCCAAGCCGAGCGAAGTCGTTCGAGAGTTTGTCTGGAATGCTGAGCAGGCTTACCAAACCAAGGTGCGCCTTAGAAACGAGAAGCACCGGGGCGCATTAGACAAGTATGACGAAGGAATTTACATCATCGACAAGTGCAGAGAGGCCGGATCCTGCCGAGTGCAGTGCTGCAGCTGTACTGGAACTTGCGCAGCGCAACTGTTCGAACATACCGTGGTCTCGCCGGTCAGGTCCTGTTGACGTGGCGCTTGATATTCCGCCAGATTCATAACGAGAAAGCAGACAAGGACAGAAAAGACAGAGGCATCACCTTGGTCGAAGAAGGGTCGGGAAGCCATGGTCCAAAGTTCCTTGCGGCATGCAGGTCTCAAAGTTGCTGACCTTGTTGAACCCGACATGCCTCGCCGCTTTTTTGGAAACTTCAGATCACAGGCCAGGAGGCCATAGTAGCAGTTCGGCCACGCAAAGCCAGAGCCAAGAAGCGGAGATCGCCCAGGCCTCTCTAGCTTGAACTCGAGGTTAGAGTTGGGGTCAACCCGAACCTCAGGGGATTCGGGTTAACTCGATCGAACCCAGGTTCAAGTTGTTGGATTTCCTCACCGGATTGGATGTCTTGATGTTTTGGCACACACGGAAGCTATCTTCAGTGTCTACTTGAAGCCTTCTTGGAGAAGACGTTTCACTTCTGATTCCTAATTTTCTCTGCTTTTACCTGTTGGCGGCCGGGCTGAGGTGAGTTTCGTTCGGATGAGGACGAGGAAAGGTCTCTGCGTCTTGCGCTGCTCCTCAATGCGGCGCAAGCTGCCCTGCAGCGGCTGGGCCACATCCAGGCCTCCGAACTCCGAGCGAGGATTCAAATCTGACTCTCTGAGGTGTCAGGAATGGACCGCTGCTGAAGCTCGAGCATCTGCCGCTTTGGAACTGGAGCAGCAAAATAAGTGACTTGACTGCGCTTCGGGGCGTTTCTGACAGTCGCAAGTCTTCTGCGCCACGTGGAACAGCTTCGTTTGAATTCGTGCTTCTAGGAAAGCGCTGTACCGACGCGGGCTTGCACGAGCATCTTCTGGAGATGCTGAGGTTTGCGTCATGAGGGCTAGCAACTCTAAGAGTTTGGAATATGGCTGTGTTAACTAATCATGCTGAGCTTTCTTGCCCCATTCTGTCAGGGAGCCAAGCTTGACTTCTGGGCCCTGTTGAAAGCATCCAACTTCGACAGCAAAGACGCTGATCTTAAGTGAAGCTCCAATGTCTGCTTGTATGTTCGTAACGCCACAGCGCCTCCGCCCCTGGCACGCAACGTACGCAAGGAAGCCATCAACCAGCTGCAGAAGCTCCTCCCCGACGATGTGATCAAAGCTGAGCCGCAAGCTCAGCCACACTAGCTCCCGCTTTGTGCGGCCTAAAGTGCCGACCCGGGTGGAAAATCATGCCATCTGCCAGACAGAAAGATAATGCTCAGCTTTCTCCACTTAGTGTTTCTATGGGGGTTCAGACAGACGTGCGAGCACCCAGAGGACCGGTGTGCATGGATCCAAGGTTTCAGAAAATGCGGAAACAAGCGGCTAAAGAGCAGAAAGTTGGTGCTCTACTCAAGGACGAGCCTGCTTTCGTGTGGCTCTTGCAGATGGGCAGTGCCGACCATGCAGCGCAGAGTTCAGGAGCTTGATGAAGACGAGAGGATTGCTGTTCAAGACGAAAGCATTCTGACTGAATCCGATGTTCGTAGTACTGACTGTGTCCACCATCTGGATTCTTTGACATGCCCGAGGCGGATAGTCTCAGCAAACACAGACGGAGTGAATTTGTGCCGAGCATTGCAAAGTTAGGATGGGACACGATCTCCGGTGTGCAAGGCGAAAGGGGTCCAGGCTCGTGCAACGCGCACTGCCGAGTGCAAACGGTTGTCCACAAAGTTGCACTCTCTCCGTTCAGTCCTCTTCTGCTCCTTCTGAAGTTGAGAATTCAGGGGTCGGGGTTTCGTTGCCCGAGTTCTGGGCGTTGAGTTCGAGGGTTTCGGGGCTACCTGGATGGAAGAACCCGAAACCACGAGTTCAGAAGGTGTTTTGCAGCCGACTTATGTTCTTCCATGTATCCATCCTGTCCGACTCACTGTTAGGCGGCTGGTCACTCGTTGGCATTGTTTCATACTCTCAGCTGCAAGCCCGATTTTTTGCTTGCCGGCCCTTTGGACGATGGTTTGGGACTTTCCGAGCTTGGTATCTGCTCATGGTTTTGGTGACACTTAGAGACTGGGATACGGCAGCCTCAGATGCTCTCGGGTTTGGGTTTCTGTTCGTCTCCGCCTCTCCGGTCTCTGCCTCTCTGCCTCCCTCCCTCGCACTCTCCCTCCCTCCGTCCGTCTCTACTGGTCTGTCTCGCAAACCGGCAATCACTGCGATTTGTAAGGAAGCAATCGCAGGTGAGCAAATCCTGACAATGCAACCACGCCCGGCATCGTCCTCTGTTTTGCTTCGAGTCAAACTGCTTCAGAAATGCACTCTTTCGCTTCGGTGCGCTTGCGCCGTCCCAACGCCTGGCGTGAGTTGTTTGTCATCCAACGATGAACCTAGCATCAAGGCTGGGTTCCTACATGATGCAGCGTTTGCATGTCATTTCACCTAAGGATACCAGCGATACTTGGGCGACTGCGAGCAGAGGGCAGCGGATGGCCAACGAGAGATCACTTTTGATGAATGGGCCAAGCAGTGCGTTGGGGCTCGCTTTGTCTTCGTTTCATTTAGATTGCTCTTCGCATGATTTGGGCTGGCTTGCTGTACGAATCAGGTACGAATGGCGTTATGATGCTGACGAGCGGTTCAAGGCCTCCAATCGTCGAAAGTATAAGCAAGTGCCCAGTCAAATAGGTTAACTAGATTGCTTGGATGCGTGGTAGTCCTAGCTCAGACTTTGGACTACGTTGCAGGCACGGCAGATGTATCCTCAATACTTTAATCACTCCGGACCAGCTCCGCTCCCTGTGGAGGACTGGGAGGTGCCAGCCCGCTGTAAATCTGCTCGTCTGTCTGCCAGTGTCTGGTGTGGAGGTGGACTACCTGACACACAAGGAGATCCAGAAGATCATGTCTCCTGCTGAGACAAAAAGCCCTTCGACAACACGCCTGCGCCTCTCCAGCCTTGGACTTCTCAGGTATCGGCGCCAGACCGAGGCAATGGGGGCACGCCGGCGGGAGAAGGAAGCCAAGCTACTGCAGAAGCCACCTGCAGAGGTGGGAGACCGTGATACACCAATATGCAAGTTCGATGCGGCAACTTGCATTCGCAGTCAGGACTCATCCAACGACAAACTGCATGTGGATAAAGAGGATGAGCCGATACTTCGGGATGCTGTCATCAAGAAAGGCACGGGCTTGCGACGCGGAGTACTCACACGTTTTGGTCGTGTCCTCGTGCAAGGCTACAACTATTGGTGGTGATCTCTGAGAGCTGTACGACATGGTGTAAAGCGAGCGAAGCCTTTTTGGCATGGCTGTATCAGTCACGCCTCTTGGCACTGCCGGCATCGATGTAGTTCGACAACCACAAGCGGAAGAAGCGGCCCAAGCGGCCCGCTGCGCCGCTGCCGTTCCGCACCGCAGGGCTAAGCCCCTGTTGGCTCAGCTCCTCAGCTCCAAAGCTGCAGAGCGGAACGATGTGGAGCTGAGCTCCCACGAGCGCGGCTTACGTTTGCGCTCCGAAAGGCATGCGAGACAGAAGCCTTGGCCTTGTCAGCTTGCCTAAATGGATTTGAAGCACAATGAATATGCAAGCGCAGGCAACCGAGAGGAATTGGATGGCTACTTTTCAGCTCTACCGCATCATTGAGACATGGCTTGTCAAGCGAAGACAGTCTTAATCTACTAAGCAGCTTGGACGGCGGTATGGTCCCATTTCCCGAGCTCAGGAGCAGCAGATGGCATACGCGAGAGTTGTGGCCTTAGTCAGAAACGTCTCCATAAAAGGGGATCGGAGGGAGGTCTTTGAGCTCAGGTTGGAATTGAGTGGGATCCATGGAAGATGGCTGAGCAGGAGGCAAAGTCCTGAAACAGCGCCTGTGGGGAGAAAGGTCAAGAAAGAACGAGCGTTTATGGTTGGAGTCTTTTCTTCGGGACGTGCAACCTGTGGCGTGATCCGCTACTCGTAAGTCAGAAAAAACCGGGATCGACTCAGAAACGCATGTGACCTTGCCCAGGATCCAGGTCAATGTCGCAGAATTCTGTGATGATCCCGCGAGTTGTCCTGGATGCATGCCGCAACACACAGTCTCTCACCCCGTCAGGTCCAGGTGCACCTTATGCGATAGCCACAACCGACCAATCGGTCATACATGATAGCATGCTAAAACCCTAAACCCTAAAGGTTTAGGGTTCCACGGTTTAGGGTTTAGGGTTTAGGGCTTGGTGGTAGTCCTGCGAGAACCGTCCCAAAGCCTGGATTCCTCTGACTTTCTTCGAAGCTTGGTGCAGCAGGAGACTTCATGACGGCAGCCGTTTCAGCATCATAACACTTGTCCTCAAAAGGATGAGGGTTGCCCAGCTTGATCGGCATGAGCTGGCGACCCGGATTGTCTGCCTGCATGCAAGATGATGTTCAACTTCTAGGTCGCATGACTGGCGTTGCTTCACCGAGTATCACAGTATCATCATGAAGCATTGAAGCCTGTGTAAGGCCACGCGGCAGGCAAGTTGGGGGCAATTTTCAACGTGCTGAACTTATGCAGTCGAAAGGTCGAGCAGAGGTACAATCCACATTGCAGCTCGTGCTCAGTTTGCAACGTCGGGTGAGATCTTCCACGACTCGAGGTCCTGCCAATACCTGTCTTTGCAATAGATCTACAAAGCAGGGTAGTCGAGTCTTGACTGCACCATATGGCATAGTGGCCAACTGGAACTGCGACGCGATGCTAACTTGGTCCAGGAAGCCAATGCAGCAGCAGTGGAGATCTGCGGGTTTAAGACCCAAGTGGCATGGCCCGAAGACGTTCTAAGCGGATAGAGCAAAGTCATTTCTGGGCGGTGCTCTGCGTTCGACCCCTGAACTGCGGTTTTTGTTGTCTTGAATGCTCGGTCTCATGTAAAAGTTGAACGGAGGTTGAGTTGCTGCAGAAAGACTTTCTGCAAACCCTTGTCGCCGATGAGGACTCAGCAGCTTGGCTGTCGAATTGCAGCTGGGGCTGGTGTGGTGCCAGGACAGAGCTGATGCTCGAGTCAGACTGAAGGAGGTGTTGGAAGGCCATGGAAGTGGAGAGACGCTGAAGGCTCACACCGCCCAACACACCGGAAGATTTTGCAAGATGCTTGAATGCTTCCTGCAGGTTACAACAGTGACTCGAACCGGCAATTGCCTTAAAGTTCCACCTTCCGCACCGCTCATGCCACAGAGAGAGAGAGAGAGAGAGAGAGAGAGTCAAAACTCCAAGGCCGCAAACAGGCATGCCTGAAGGCTGCTACAACCCGCAGTGCAGCAGGACCCGGGACGCCTCGAGTTCCCGATGCTCCCTTTTGCAACGACGGAACAAAGATCTCGAAGGAAAGCTCGACGGTGCAGTTATATGCGTCCAAGACATGAGTGAGATAAAGATGCTGGCAGGTGCGGCTTGCGCAATTTGCTCGGCTAGTGGAACACTCGTTGGGTTTCTGCGCAGAGCTTTATTCACACTCACGACAGGCAGTGCGGCACATGCTGACGGTGCGGAGCATCTCTCCGGCGCTTTGTCTGCTACTGGACTGGCTCTGCTCCTCAATCGCAACGAGAGACACATTCTGGACAGCTGTGTCACCAGCAGCTCCAAACTGCCATCTTGGTCTTTTGCTATGGGCTCAAAGGTTCTGCGTCGACAAGGAGTGCAAGATTGTTGAGTGGACGCCGAAGATGGAGATGCTTGCTTGGATTAAAAAAAACTCGGACAGGATGCTACATTCGCTTGGTTGCACAGAACTCGAAAGGAACCAGTCTCCTGTCATGTCATCTGACCCCCCGAACGACTTTCGATCGCTAATGCGCATGGGCTGGTATCTGTACGTATCTGTTGTCAGGCATGCAAGACTTACAAGTGTTCCTGTCTTCGGACGCTGTTTTCTGCCACTTGTACCACTCACCATGCTCGCTTAGGCTTACTGTTTCCGCGCATGCCAAAACGTGATTGCGCAGTCTCCCAAAGTCGCCAGGCTTCCGGGCTTCCCAATCATCAACCAGCTTGTGTTGAGCATTGGCGGATCTGAAGCAAGGGATTCATCATGGCCGCTTCAAGATCTTCAAAGGGGATGGACAGAGACAGGATAGATTGAGCCGGACATGTTGAGCTTGGCAGTGTCAATGTCAATGCAGGCATAGGCGGACACCGTTGCGCAATCCTCCCTGTGACGGTTGTCGAATTCCGATTACATGCAGCAGCAGAGTCCGACAACCAAGCTGCACCACGGACATGAGAGTTGTCGCCTTGGCAAAGGCAGGTGCATGAATCAGGCATCTGCAGAAGGCCTTTCGTTGGACTTCCGGCTTTTTCAAAGCCGGCAGTCCCCCAGTTCAAGACTTGTCATCGGCCAACACAAGTTCGCAGTATCAGTCTGTTCCCCGCATGAGAATACGCACAAACACAGGTGCACACACACAGACCCCCAGGGACACACTAGCGCGCCAGTCATCCTTGATTAGATGGATGCTGTTCGTGCTACACGTTCACATCTTTCTTTCTTCAGCAGCATCTCTTAAGCAGGGACGTGTGAAGGCGTCCCCTGCTTCATTGGATGGGATACCGGGATGCGCATCATTGCGCATCCCATCCCCCTGCTCTGAAGTAGCAAGGGGCAAGGATCTCCTGCACAGGAAGTTTTCACAAGACGCTGGCAGAACTGTTGTTGATCACTTGCAGTTCAACTGCAGAACATGTGCAGCACCCTCACGAAGCATTCTGAATTTTGCATGCTAAATGCCTTGGGACAGGAGGCGCATGCCGCGCACGCGCACGCACACCCACACCCACACCCACAGCCACAGCCACAGCAACACCAACACCCACACCCACACCCACACCCACACCCACCCGCACACGCACACGCACACATGAACACGCATGAACACACGCGCACACACACACAAACAAACAAGCAAACAAACAAACAAACAAGCAAACACACATACACACACACATACACACACACAAACACTTGACACATCGTGTCGCAGGTCTGAACAGTCAGTTCATCTTGCCGAAAGCTGTCAGGGGAAGTCAGAACATGCATTAGAAGGCAAACTCTCCCAGACATGCACATGAAACTGCACTGCACTCCTACTCGCAAACAACAGTTGTGGTCACAAGCTGCACAAATGTGCCCATGCCGACCACTGCAGGTACGTTTACCTGTCTCAATATCACGGAGCTTCATTGGCAGAGGCCGTGAAATGAGACCCTCTGCCCCCTGCTGCTTAACTCACTCACGTCTCTTGGAAACAGAGTTGGACACACACAAGCCTCGAGGGGCTCCGTGCAATGTTGATGGTCGTTGCGCGCTGTTTTTCTCACCGATTTTTCATCGAAACGTCTTGTCCTTAGGAGACCTAGGAGAGTGGGCTACGAAACTTCAGAAAACGCAGTCTATACACTAAGTGCAATTCAACTTCGGCTTCTTCTGCATCAGAATCGAAGTACATGCAACACTGAGTTGCAGTTTTGTACGCAGCATTGGCCAATGACACGATACTCACTCGCAAACGCTCCTGTGCTAGGTCTACCACAGCACGCATCCACCTCTTGGAAGGGCTGCCCAACATGGTGCAGGCCACGGCATTGATTTGAACAAAACGGATGGTGGTATGCAAAGACTGAAAACCCATGGTCAACTCAACCGAGGAGGACAGCCGAAATTCTTGTATCCCACGTTGCAAGAACGTGTAGGCCACCAAGGTGTCGGTTAAGGGTTGCGCCTCTTCTGGGTCGTCATTTCGATCAAGGCGAGTAATGAATGTGATTCTGGCTCTGATCGGCAACAAGTACGTCAAGATGTTCTCGAGCACGTCAGAAGCGGCCCAATCCATGTTGTTCGGAATCTACAAAACTTCCAGACTGCTTGAAACAAAACTCTATTCCATGTCTGATGAAAGCAACTCCCAAAGGCGCAGCACTTGCACATCCCTGACATGTCTCTCCGCACATTTCCTGCACAGCACTTGCACATACCTCGACCGTCCCTTGCACATCACTTGCAATCCGCTTACTCTTCCCTTGCTAATCACTTCGGTTGACACAAAGCATTGGTGGACTCTTTTCAAACCGTCAACGCTCTCTCACTTTCGGTCTAAGACGTACTGCACAAGTTTCAAAGTAGAGGAAAAACGCTTCCTAGGGCCATGCTTTTCTTTAGCAATGCGCTCCCCGTGTTGTCTCAGGAAATCGAGAATGAACTGGGCTCTGTTGTGGATGAAGAAGTCGTCACCAAGCACTCTCGTGCCTTCCATTCTGCGACGAAATTGGGCTCTAGGTGCAGGACGAATCTTGATACGCGCACCATCAGAACCTTCATCAATCATACGAAGCTTGCGTTTCCGCGGCGGGACAATCTTCGACATGTTGGTGTGTTCTGCAGCGGAACGGTTCGACTTTGGAAACTGAACTGATCGACCAGGGGACATTGACGGAGACTGTCGGCCAAGGAACGATGACACATTTGAGCTCTCATGATCAAAGGCGAAATCAGCGGAATCTGGATCACTGACCGCGGTAACACCTGATACCAAAGCTGCACGTCGATCATGTTCTTGGTCCGACACTGCAAAGTCTGACGAGAAGTCGGACGAGTGCACGTCCGATACAGAGACAGCATCGCTCTCAAAGCTGGACACCGACATAATTTGAAGCTACCTGTACGTTACAAGTCTTTTTAGACCTGGAGAGTGCCTTGAGGACATGAATCAAAACAGTGTCTGCAAATATTCACAACACATGCTGCCAGCAGATCACTTGCATAACCCTTGCACATCCCTTGCACATCACTTGCGCGTTCCTTGCACATCCCTTGCAATACACTTGCAGCAGCACTGGCAAACAGACTCTTCTTTGCAACTGCAGAAAGTCTACGAAACTGCAGAGTCTATGCGTTCCAACATAGGCGAACCACACTCATGTCAGAGAGTCTACGCATTCCAACATAAGCAAACCGCACTCATGTCGCAAATCTGCAGAGTCTACGCATTCCAACATCGGCGAACCGCACTCATGTCACGAAACTGCAGAATCTACGCATTCCAACATCGGCGAACCGCACTCATGTCACGAAACTGCAGAGTCTACGCATTCCAACATAGGCGAACCACACTCATGTCAGAGAGTCTACGCCCTACGCATTCCAACATAGGCAAACCACACTCATGTCACCAGTCTGCAGAGACTACGCATTCCAACATCGGCGAACCGCACTCATGTCACGAAACTGCAGAGTCTACGCATTCCAACATCGGCAAACCGCACTCATGTGTCACGAAACTGCAGAGTCTACGCATTCCAACATAGGCGAACCGCACTGATGACACGAAACTGAAGTCTACGCATTCCAACATTGGCGAGCCGCACTCATGTCACGAAACTGCAGAGTCTGAGACGCTTGTAGAGCCAATATACAGCATCGTGCTGGGCTTTCTTATTGTTCAAAACCGAGGATGCAAAGCAATTGGGCATCCACCATCACTCTACAGAAAGTCCATGCACAGGAGACTGCAATCAATGACCTCGTCTGCCATTACAAAACGAGTATGCGCTCACACTTGCTGCACGGCAAACCTGCACTGCTGGACTCTCCGTTATGTCATTCAATCGGATAGGGCTGCATGGCAGGAATACTCTCAGCAATCATTTCCAGCAGCGTCTCAAAGCAGAAAGTCTACGAAACTGCAGAGTCTATGCGTTCCAACATAGGCGAACCACACTCATGTCAGAGAGTCTACGCATTCCAACATAAGCAAACCGCACTCATGTCGCAAATCTGCAGAGTCTACGCATTCCAACATCGGCGAACCGCACTCATGTCACGAAACTGCAGAATCTACGCATTCCAACATCGGCGAACTGCACTCATGTCACGAAACTGCAGAGTCTACGCATTCCAACATCGGCCTACGCATTCCAACATATGCAAACCGCACTCATGTCGCGAAACTGCAGTCTACGAGTCGCACAAGCAAGCAAAAACATGTACTGAACCAATCACTCCAGCTTGGTCCGACACTGCAAAGTCTGACGAAAAGTCGGACGAGTGCACGTCCGATACAGAGGCAGCATCGCTCTCAAAACTGGACACCGACATAATTTGAAGCTACCTGTACGTTACAAGTCTTTTTAGAACTGCAGAGTGCCTTGAGGACATGAATCAAAACAGTGTCTGCAAATATTCACAACACATGCTGCCGGCAGATCACTTGCATAACCCTTGCACATCCCTTGCGCATCATTTGCACGTCCCTTGCACATCCCTTGCAATACACTTGCACTGAAGTACATGCAACACTGAGTTGCAGTTTGGTACGCGGGCGCAGAGCAGTAAACATGGGATACAATGCGACCCAATTGAAGTTGGCTGAGTACACTTGAATCAGCTTCCCTTCTTCATCACGCACTTCCAACCCACGAAGTTCAGGAATCACGAAGAAGTTTGAATCCTGTTCCCACTCTACTTCCACATGACCTCTGAGAAAAGCTCGATTCCCAAGATGCTCGTAAGATTCTTGCAGGGGTTTAACACGAAAGACGTATTTCTGGTCCGCACTGCAAAATCGGCAACTGAACGAAACGACAGACGGAAACCTGTACCATCTGCGTGTAGAGTGATGGCTGGTGGAACATCTTGTTGTGGAACAGGTCGATCACTTACAGCATGTGCGGATGCAGAGGCAGGAGCTACATCTGCTGTTCCCAATCCAACATTGCAAACAGAAGAGATCGGCAAAGATGACGAAGCTGGCACCGAACACACTGCAGGAGTGGGGGGTGGGGGAGGGAAAGCGGGAGGGGGAAGGGGAGGGGGGGGTGGAATCCACTTCGCAGTGGTGTCACGGGAGGGGGGCGGGGCAGCAGTGGGGAGAGGAGGGGGTAGCAAGGGAGGGAGGGGAGAGGAGGAGGGTGGAGGGAGAGGCGGGGGAGGAAAAGGGGGAAGAGATGTCCCAGTACTGCGCACTTTGTCTGAAGTATCCATGGCAGATTGATCAGCAACTACCAAACGTACAGCTAATGTACTCAACTTGCAGCCGAAGACCTGCGACAAGTGACCGGTAAAGTCAGCTCGGGGAATTCAACCAGATCATAACAAAGTCGATGTAAGAGTCAGCGTTCAGCTTCGGAAAAGGCATTTGGGAAAGGCTCACTGGAAGAATCAGCATGCAAGCATGGATATGAAATCAATGAAAATCATCCAATGCTTATGCAGTCACTCGGGAAAGTCAGCGCCAGAGCTACCTCTGGGAGACACGGCGCCCATAGGGAATGCCGTTGTGAAGCACACTTGACACATCGTGTCGCAGGTCTGAACAGTCAGTTCATCTTGCCGAAAGCTGTCAGGGGAAGTCAGAACATGCATTAGAAGGCAAACTCTCCCAGACATGCACATGAAACTGCACTGCACTCCTACTCGCAAACAACAGTTGTGGTCACAAGCTGCACAAATGTGCCCATGCCGACCACTGCAGGTACGTTTACCTGTCTCAATATCACGGAGCTTCATTGGCAGAGGCCGTGAAATGAGACCCTCTGCCCCCTGCTGCTTAACTCACTCACGTCTCTTGGAAACAGAGTTGGACACACACACACACAAAATACACACACACACAAAATACACACACACACACACACACCCGCACACACAGACACCCACACACCCAGACACCCACACACCCACACACCCACACGCCCACACGCCCACACGCCCACACCCACACCCACACCCACACGCGCACGCGCACGCACACGCACACGCACACGCACGCACGCGCACACACACACGCACACACACACACACACACGCATGCGCACACACACACACACACACACACACACTCACACTCGCTCACACTCACTCTCATTTTCACATGCACAAGTCACAAGCCATGCTTAATTGCGCACAGTGTGCAGAGGCATGTGCAACGCTGACACACGCACTCTTTATGCGATGCAAGGAAGTTGACCGGGTACCTCGCGGGTCAGGCTGACACGGATACAACTGATGCTGACCCAAGCCCGGCTTTGGTTGTATTTGTGTTCGGGTTTTAAAAAAATACCATCGGCCGCAGGCCAGCAATCAAGAGGCGACATTCTGTGCTCTCGCTGCGGGGCTGAGATATCCTGTGTCCAAGAAACGTTTGTGCTTCTGAGCAGTACCAGCCAAAGGCCAGCTCCCAAAGCAGCATGAGAAAGGGGCTGGACCAAGCGCTGCGTGGCTTGGTATGCAGATGTATGCAGTATGCAGTTCGGAACGATTTGACAGATTCCTGGTCGATGCCGTTTGGGCTGCACAGGTGGGCTCGACATTCCTCGATACAACATAAGCATAGAGCACAGCAGTGCCTGCCCGAGCTGAACCAGATGAGTCCTTCAGAGCGTACGCATGGAATCTTGTCGGTTTGTGCTTTCGACTTTCTCAGGTGGCAGGACGAAAGAAGCTTGGGCTGTTTATGCATCGGGGAGAAGTTGGTTTTCGGTGGGGTGTTGAGACAAGGCTGAGTCGGTGGGTCCTGCGCCGCTCAGGATGCTTGGTTGAGTGTGGTCCCATGGCGGTCAGCCACCGGCAGCATCGTGGGGGCAGTTGGAAGCTTCCAAGATGCAGAGGAAGTGGACCGGAGACTGGGGGAGGCGAGAAGGTTTTTCTTTTGGCAGCGAACAAATTTGCTAGAAGCGGGCGCACTCGCAAGAAAAACTGGGGTCAGGCAGACTGGATTCGAGCGGCTTGGCCTCAAAGAGATTTATCTTACAGTGATGTCAGCTATCAGATCACAACATGGCAGTCTTAGTGTGATTTTCCATCAGGCTGCCGTGGCAGAGCAACTGGACCGAGCCAATGCGGCGATTTTCTCGATCGACTCCAATCTGCTGCTTGTCTTTCACTGTAGACTGTAGCTACTGACTACCGAGGTACTCATACTTGTAGTACCAAGTGTTCCTCACCAGAACTGAACGCTATGCGCAGCGCTCTCTGTCAAGACGTGTGCAACGGTTGTACTTCGGATTCGTAACAGTACGCCTCCCACCTGGCCAGACTCTCCTGGGGCTCTGGGACGGAATTGCTATCTATTTCCCGTACGAGATTCTGACCCTGTTTGAGTTTAAGTTTTCGGTGGAATTGTCTTTAGACGCCGGATCGGCAGATTGCTCCTTTGTGCTTCTCAACGTCTTCCAGAAATCTCGTGATGAGTGTGTCTGGATGGCCGAGGTGCATCACCGAATGGAATTATGCTTTGGAAGACCGAAGCGGCAAGGAGAAGGAGAGCGTTGCTGGGCCACTTGACTCTAAGGAATCGAGCTTGCAGTTTTTGCGAGTCATGCTGGGACGGATGGGCCGAGGGCAAAGTTACCGGATCTACTTGAGACAGATTCGCGAAGCCGAGCAGAAGCCGCTGCCAAAACAGCCCTCGCCGGCGAGTTGGGCTCAACTGTACAGAGCCTCGCCTCTTACCTGGTGCAACTGTTGCTGTGTCCTTCATCGCTTGCGCAGAGGATATCTCTGATGCCTGGGATGGACATGGTGGTGGGATTTTCCCCACAATTCAGCTTCGCTGGCAAGGCCTCGCACAAGTTTAGATGGCACAGTTCACGGGACCGAATTCTACCTGGCCCTACAGGAGGAGATAACACATGTGTCGATCCTGTTTGTAGAGTTGTTTGGTCTGGCTTGTGTCTTTATGGATCCTGTCTAGTTGCGGGGCATCACAGGTTTGTCGTCCACTTTCGCAGTTCCGGCTCGCATCGGAGCTCGATATGCTGGATACCGCTTGCACCAAATTGACGGTTGCATGGCTTGGCTGACTCACACAGTCTGGAGCCGACTCAGGTTGAATCGCTGCGGCTACAAGTAGTGAAAGATCCGCAAAGATGTAGCATGACCTGTCTGGAGAGACTGAGCGCCACCGCCGCCACCGCCACCGCCACCACCACTACCACCAACACTACCATTATCACCACCATTACCACCACCACGACCCCGCTTGTTGTACGACGGTCTTTCTCGCTCCCCTTGGAAGACTTGACCAACATTTCTACCGAGTTGCAGGTTTAGTTGACACTGACGGCTCTCTGGCCGCCTCTGGAAACTGTGCACGTCGTTAGGTAGCAAGCGCTTGCCAGCTGCCAGCTAACGAACCGTCTTCCTAATCCACGACCTGGAGATCGATGAAGCCTTCGAAGAATGCAGTAGTTTCTCACGGCAGCATCTTCTCTTAGAAGCCTGGCCCGACAAAAGATGCCGGCTTTGGAGTCGTGCTTCGTCGGGACGTTTGCGCATTCGTCAGGTCATTGGTGCCCTGGCAGTTGGTCAGCTGCTGCCATCTGGAGGTGTCACACGGTCGCCACAGGAACCTGGGACGTCCCACGCGATGAAGGCCCTGGGTCTTGCTCAGGGAAGGCAGCTGCAGCCCTTTCCAAGGCATTTGCAAATTGAGTAGTGAGTCCATCTAGTTTTGCAGAGGCTGTTTTGAGTCCCTAGTCAAGGACGCTTGACGAGAATGTTGCCTTCAATGAGCTGTCTCGAGCTGCCCGAAGGCAATGATTCTTCACGAGCTTCGCTCTCCTTTGCATGGCATCCTGGGTCTGGCAACCACGCTGTCACAGGACATTGCGCAGCATTCGAACTTTTGACTTCTCCAGATTCTGTTTGAGTGTTCCTGCCGCTCCTGCTGCTCCGGCAATTTTTCAATCTGGCGTGATCGTCGATGTCTCTGCTCTGCAGTTTGCTTTGCACTTGTTGGTCGGTTAACTTGTTGGTTGTTGTCTGCTGGCTGCTGCTCTTTTTTCCGTTACCCTTTGACGGCCACCGCGGCAGATGCTTCTGCTGCTGCTGCTGCGCGGCGGAGGGGTAGTGGTGTGGCGGTTCTGCTCCTCCGATGTTGTGTTGTTGCTTCTTAGTCGTGTTGCCCGAGCCAAGAGAATGGCAAAGTTGTTGGAAGGGCCTGCATGAAGCATGCTCCTTCATGACTTTAACCGTTCCCTGAAGGACACTGGCCCTTTGCAGAAACCGCGGCGCAGCTGAAGCAGACGTTCAAACAAGCGCAGGGCAGCAGATGGATTCGCACACTTTGTGTCGCTAAGGCTTGGCATGATTGGTTTGAGCGTGCCGCAGCTGACTTCGAGCAGTGTTTGAGCGTGTCGTTGTCAAGGCAAGTTATGGGAGTTTCCGCCTCGGAGTCCCTTTTTCGCGGGCTCGGGTTGCTTGTTGCTTTTTTAGGCTGTCGCTTTCCTTTTACTGTCGGCAAGGCAAGGCCAAGCAACTGAACTTCTGTAGGAGTCTCATAACATCGCTGTGCTTCCGAAGAGCCTTTGTGGAGGTTAGCTGTTAGAAGAAGTTCCAAGGAAATGCGTATTCAGATACCTGTTACTAGTACAGTCCAACCTAGGGACTCCCCTAGTTTTATCAAGAAATGGGCCGCACAAGCTTCGATCTCGGCGCGCTTTCCATGATATTCGTCCCCATGCACAGACTCGGTAACAAGCCCTCAGACAGAAAAGTGAGGGTTGTTCCTGTGGCAGGTCTTTGTGACATGATGACGAGGGCGGGTTGTGAAAAACTCGGTCTCTTAAGAGTGCACACCATTCGAGCCCGCACGCAAGGTTGTGCAAGCACGAGCACAAGCCTTGCTCACACTTATCGTTCGAGACTCTGTGAACAAACCCCGACGTTCAGAAAGCCTTGTGCGCAAGGGCGACATGCAAAGGTTCCCAAATGGCTTGCATGGAACAGGGTTTTAGAACAATCCTCAAGTGTTAACTCAGGCAGAGCGAGTGCTGAACTTGGTCACGAACATCATTGATTATTGGAGCCTTTGTTGCAATGAAAGCTGAGACACGAACGGATGCAACTGTCGAAGCTTTGGCGGTTCTGCAGCAAGGAACTTCTGCGACGAAGGAAAGAGAACTTCCGAGAGCAAAGATGAGGTTGTGGATTTGCTTGTGCTCCAGCCTGCATCAAGGTGTGGGATTCGACTGGGCGGGAAGGTTGACCTGCTGCTGTTGATCTGGTTAGCACAATCACATAGTCAACAACAACAACAACAAACCACAATATTACATCATGCCGAGCTGACCTTGCGTCGAATTTGGCAGGCCGGGGTTTGGGTGCCATTTCTGAAGTTACATATCGGCCTGCTGCTTTGGCTCAAGCCGGGAAGCCAGAACCAAACTGGCAGTCCGGTGTATTTCTTTTCATTCGGGGAGTGACCCGTTGGTATTGCGTGTCTCGGAATTCCAGGCGTTACCTGTGAGGTGATGGAATATGCTTTCCTGTATATTGTGCATCGCACCGGGGAGTCTGTTTTGCGTCCAGATGCAGGTGTGGAATGACGTGGGTGCACCAATGATCATGTGGAGGAGGGTAACTTGCCACAGGATTGGCCTGTCTGGGATTCAGCCATCAAGGTCCAGCACATGCCGCCGCTGCTGGCGATCGCTTTTGTTTATCCCGCTGCAGGCCGCGCGCCAGGCAGCTGCTTTTTAGGTCTGGACCATGACCTAACTCAGGATCTTAGCCAAGTCTATGTTGCATAGGACCTTATCACACAAGCTGAGTCCACGCAGGCCTTTAAGCCTGGTCGCGCAGCAAAGATATATTACGGCCTCATAAACTTCTTGGAGCCGTGTGGGCTATGGTGGCCTGTGAGCGCCACCACTCCGGGAGATTGCCATGACTGAGGAACACTAGGACAGCCTTCAGCTGATCCCAGAAAGGGTCGCTTTGAGGTGTTGGTTCCGTTTCGTGGCCGCGAGTGACGCGGCTGAAGAGGAGCCGGGTGCCGCTACAGGAGAATTTCTCCTGGTTTGGGAGCACGTCTGCAATCTGTGGAAGCGTGGAGAGAAGCGAATTGCGCAATCCAGGTTGAGCGTGATGCTCTTTGCGTCGGTTTCACGGCCAGCACTTTCGTGCTCGCTGACGGGGCGGCCCTGATGTCTCGCATCAGGAACCGCTCCGCTGTGTTTGTGCAGGAGTTGGTGCCCTTCACATCCAAGTGGGGCGATGCTATCAGCCGGGAGCCGCAGAGCCCTGGCATCGTAGCCATTTTTTTCCAGTATCTCCGTCTTGAAGTGAGTGCATCCGGTCGTGTGCCGGTTTACCAATTGTATTCCAGGGGCTATGCCGTCACAAGGAGTCGAGATTCGAGCCTGGAGGGATGAAGAAGGAAGTGGCAATCGCTCTGCCGAGCATTTCGATTAAGTCAATCTGAAATGTGTCCATGCATCGAGTTTGGCAGACTAGTTTGCATGTATCATATCTGATCTGAACTGTATATCGGCCTGTTAACTGTTGGCTCTTTCAAACCGGAAGCTTGAGCTATTCTGGCAGTCCGGTAAATTTCCTTTTCTGCACCCGCCCTTTTCGGGACGCCGACCTCCCGTGGAATTCTCCGTGTCTGAATGACAGACAGTCGTCTCCGCAACAGGAACGTTTTGGTCCACTGATTCGTGTAATCACTGGGAACGTTTAGGTCTGCTGATGTGTGGAATCCGATTGAACAGAGCTTGGAGGGATGAAAAGGGAAGTGGTGAGCCTTCTACCGAACGTTTCGATCACATAAATCATTGTGAAATCGTAACAGTTATTTCGTGATATTCTTGTCCGGGCGCTTAATATTAGTGCAATAAATGACTGTGTTATGTGGTGTGAAGCGACAATAGTCGAGCTTGCACAGCGAAGACCTCGAATCAGTTGAAATTGCAGACAAGTAAATTAATTATAGACAGTATTATAGTATATTGAGTTCAAGTTACCCGAGCCCCCTTAAAGGAGATTTCGCTCCAAATTTCAATCAAGAGCCGCGTTCTTTCAGTCCCCACTGCGAGGTGCTTGCCAAAGAGTGCATCTCCAAGTGTGAAGCCTTCAAGGACAAGAAAGGCAAGCCGCTCAAGAAGGACCAGGCAGTTTCGCTGCAAGCATCGGTGAGCTCGGTTTCGGGACGCGAAAACGAGGAATTGGTCTTTTGACAGCCACTTCCACACCAAGCTTCAAGCTCCCAAACCGAAATGCCCAGCACCCGAATTCAAAACAATAAACACTAGCGGCGTGCAAAAGAGATGGAATTGTTTGGACTTTGCAACAGTTCTTTACTTCAGACTGAAGCTGTGCCAGAGGCTTCAATGCTGTCATAACCACTAGGTGATGACATTGGCACGTGTGGAACTATTGCCGGACAACCCGCATTTGGCCTTATTTATTGATTATCCAGGCACAACTCGGCTTCACGCAAGCTGCTAATGTTGGCATGGCCTTCGTTTGGCTTGTCTAGCTCGCTGCTAAAGGTGTTTCGGGCTGTAATTCGCAGTGAGCCAAGTACAGCTTGTCGAAACCGAGCATGGTGCCTCGTGTGTCAGGTGCATCACTGCCAGGAACGGACGTCCCCACAGTCCCTTGTCCCGCCAAAACCATCCTCATTGATTCGTTGTTATTCGTTGGGCCTGAGCACATGCAGACATCACTCGCATGTTTCAGCACATAAGGTTCCAGATGGTTCCAGTTTTTGCAGGCTTCAGTTTTTGCCTCTGGCTGTGTTACTGCAGCCCTGCGGCTTTCGTGGCCTCCCCGGTCTTCCGAGCACCGGGGTGCTACCAAAACTTGAAACGCAACCGTTCTTTGGTCAAGAAGTCCGAAATGCAGAGTATTCGTGGCCAAGACACCAGCCACAGTGTCTTCTTTCAAGGAATGCCAAGTGGTTCTGACTGCGGGATGCAAGCACGAGAGAGTAGGCAAACAAGCGGTGACAAATTCAGAAGTGTGGTCCGGCGGCACGGTCCTGCAGCATGTCGCAACTCTGGCTGAACCGCGCCTCTGAGACCCTTGTACAATTGCGTGCCTTTAGCCACACATCCTCGCGAAGCCTCCAGTGCCAGATCGGAGGTGCAATTCACGCAGAATTTGCAAAGTGTGACTATCTCCGGCGATGCCTACCAGCTTTCGCAGATGATGATCCACATCCTCATGAATGCCACGTGGATGCGACAAGCAAGCGAATGTGCGGAACTGTGCTGGCGATGCAACCTGAGGCTTTCAAGTTCTCTTCAGAGGGAGAGGTACTTGCGTGACAACTGTCGTCTTCCTTCTTTCACGCACCTACCTGTGTCTGATTGAAGGTGACCTTCACCGTGGAGAAAAACAAGGAGACCAATTCCGCTGTAATAACTGTTACGGACACAGGCTTGGCCTCCCCATCTTTTGCATTGCTTCGTGTCCTTGCCTCTTGCACGGATGCACGCAATCTTATGCCAGGTGCTGGCATAAAGCCTGAGACAAGGGACAGTGCCTCCTCGGTCGCAGCGCAGTCTTACGGCAGATGCGCTCCCCCTGGGTTGCCAGGTATGTTTCGCGCATTTGCACAGGAAGACTTGACCGAGAGCCGCTACTCGTCCAGAAGAGTGGCATTCCGTAGCGCCGCGTTTTCAGCTCGCGATGTTGAGGAAAACATGACGGTCTTGGCGTTGGGCTGGCCTTGGTGCGGGAAGTAGTGCGGATACACCAGGGACGTCGTGGCCTCGTTTGCAGCTCTGTGAAGCCTTGTAAACTTGAGTCGAATCTGTTCCAGAGATGCTAAGGATGCACCCTTGAGCCAATGCCGGGGAAGGGCACATCGGTGCAGGCACTTATCCGAGCTGTGCTGTGCACTGCAGTGGCACTTGCCGTCAAAGCCTTCACAACAACTGACCAAGGTGGTTCTTCCTTGCAGTCCATTTCCCGACAACACGCCTGCTAGCGCTACTCAGGTCTCTGGGGTGCCATGCAGTCTTCACAGGTTTCACAGCTATACATGGCGGCGGTGCTTGAATCGTGAGGCCTTGCTGGAGCCCATGAAGGTGCCACGCTAAGCCTCCTCTTTGTGGCCTTCGGATGCCCTCGGTTGCGCGAGGTGCCACTTCCCGGCACGAAGCCTCGTGGACCTCCTTCATCCTGGCTTGGCCCAAGCACGCAGATTGGCACCTGGGTTCGCAAATTCTGCAAGCTGCGATAATCTTGTGCTGTCGTTGAAGGGCAGCTTCGTGCACTGGCAATGTGCGAGGCATGCAAATCAATGCAAGGCCGTCGCCACCGATGGAGGGAGGTCGCTTCAGACCGCCTCATGCTTGTGTTTGTTTGCTTTTTGGGTTCTTCTGACCTGCTGGCATCCTTCAATGAAAGGAAACGTCATGTCCCCTTGCGCAATTTGTACTCGCATGTCTGCAAGCTGCCCGTTTTCCCCACCGGGCTTGCAAGCACGAGACATGGGGCTAGAAGGTATCATTGCTATTCTTGCAGCTAGCTGCAGGCACGCAAACTGCCTCATCACTGCCAGCTTTGAAGGACACCTTGTCGGAAGCAGGATTCAAATCAAGCTTGAACACATACACTGATTCCGTGCTCAGGATGGGCTGTCACCACCCATCAACTTTCAGGACTCCTTGGCATACCTTACACCCCTTTGCACTCTCAGAGAAGTCGGTGGCGCCAGGAGGAGGAAGAGGACGGCCAAAATCTTATCATGTCTGTTGACGACGACTTCGTCAATCAAGAGGTCATGCGATCCATCTTGGAGCCCAGCGGATTCCAGTCGTCTGTCTGCATCATGTGAGTGCAACCTAAACGATTGGCGTTCTCCCGGTGCAGAGTGCAGAAGAGATGCGTCAACATCTGATCTAAGGGTGATTGCTTGCATGAGTGGTTCTGAATGCCTTCAATACTTCGATGAAGACAATCCGCGTCCCCGGCTGCTCCTGTTGGTGGCTTGACATCAAGCGATCAGCAAGTGTGTCGAGATCCCAATGAGCCCAACAACTCTGCCCGCTGACTGGGAGCATGCCCCAGCATGCCTGGACTGCAGGATCTGATGATGCCGGGATTGAGTGGTTTTGACGTGCTTCAAGCGCTACGTGACAAATTTCAATTCGGCGAGCTTCCTGTTGTGATGGTGTCTGTCGCCAGCTTAGTCATTTTCCAGCCGTGGTTGGACCTGAGGCTGCATGCGTGTCTGTGTGTGTGTGTGTTTTTCTTGCCAACCCAGGCCAAGAACCAATCAAGTTCTGTGGTAAAGGGTGGCTTGTCAGCACTGATTGAAGCAGAAAGGTTGAGGAGAAAGGATAACTTCATAGGGTTCTGCGTTTTTCATCTGGTGCTTCGGCAGAGGAAACCCACAATTTGGCTGCTCCATTTCTGCCAAGGATACGACTTGGGCTGCGCGGACTGGATCCACAAACCATTTTGCAGACAGGAGCTGATTGCCAGAGTCAAGGCAGAACAGATCGCTTGCAGTCTTCTGCATTCTGCAGTCGTCGAATAGCGTTCAGACCTTGACCTGCCAGTCGCACCTGAAGATACGTGATACACTTCTAGGCTCCATGGTCGCAAGTAAAGGGCTGCCTGTCAGTATTGATCTTAGGCTCTACCGAATGGTTCGTGCGCAAGCCGAGGTTACAGGAGGAGATGGGCACAAGTGCCATCCCAGGACGTCCAGCAAGAACTCAGCACGGGCGAATCGCCTTCCGACCTTTTACATGTATCAGCCTGCAAGATTCAGATATGCCGGGCGTGTGCGCGATCTTTGCAGCTGCAATCATTTCCAAACCTTCGTTGTCGAAAGTCAATTCGTATGAATACCCCTGGTGTGATGTGCAGCTTCCCGCACAAGCTTGTGATTCACTCTGGTGATACTCGCTACACTGACAATGCAGCCCCAGCTGCTGAAAAGCAGGAGAACGTTTGCAACATCACTGAGGACCACGAGGCTCGTTGGGGCTCGGGTATGTGTTGACAAAATCTCGCAAACTTGATTGATGCATTGGGAAAGAATGCGTGGACACAGGCTGCATCTGAGTGAGAACTTGCTCGTGCCGCAGGATGACACACCACGATCCGAAGGGGAGAAGAGAACAGCGGAGGAGGAGGCTGAACGGCAAATGGTCGCTCATGCCATGACTTTCTGCTTTGAGAAAGGCGGCCCAAGAAGAGACAACTACCACGCGACGAGGCAGCTTTAATGCACCGGCTGTGAATTGGCACAGCTTGTGGAACAAACCTCGTGTCGGTAGTGGATCCATGAAATGCATGTCGGAAAGAGAGCATTGCCACTGCGGCCCGCGATAACAGCAGCCCCGGGTTTCATCGAGGTTCGGCTGGTTTGACACCCGCACCCGATCGCGGCCGGTTCAAATGTTTGACCTTTTGTCGACGACGATGTTCCGAACCCAGCGTCTCAGTTAGCCCGTTTCTTTTCACTATCACTGTATTCTTTCATGTTAGTCTCGTGAGATTCGGTTTGTGCCGACATGTTTACGATTGAGGGCTACGTGCTGAGAATTTTCAGCATACTTCAGATATCAGATGAGACTGTCATGCTGCTTCGTTGAGCAAAAAGTAGAGGAGCGACACAGAGAAGATTTTGGATTGAAGTGAGCAGAGAAGATGTCGTGCAGCATCACACATCTGCAGCAGCAGCACTGTAGTCCAAGCTGCAGAAGCTCTTTCGGAAATCAGACTTGCCAGGCCCTGTGAACTCGACGGCGCTTTTTGCAAACGTTGCAGCGGTCTTGGAGTGCTTTCTCAACCACGGTACACCTGAGTTCGAACCCGTTTCTTTACGAGAAGGTCAAGAAGCTCACATCGCCTGGGGATCAAGACGAGGCCTGTGCACATGATATGGAAAGCCCGTAGCTCAAGACTCTACCAGCTGTGATAGGTCCATCCGGTTTCATTCTCAGGGGCGGCTAAAGCGCAGAAGCTCCACCGACTGTGGCAAGTCGCACAAACTCGCAGTCAAAACCCTGCAATGAGGTAGGATCCGCTTCTCAGGCCACAAAGCTCAGTGATTGAGCTTTGTCATTCATGGCCAAACAGATTGCCACCTCTCAGCCAGGCAGTTAGTGAGCAGCCAAGCATGCCAAAGGAGGGCACCGTAACACCGGACCAAGTATCGATGCAGTTGCTCAGCATACCAAGCACATTCAAAGATGCTGTTAGCAAGCCTGTCAGGCGTCATGAGTCATGGCCTTGCATGCCGGAATAAGATTCTTCGCAGCACCCCAACTCCTCGGCTTCAGAACCGACCCAGAGGATCCCAGAGGTATGTGCCTGCAAGACGAAGGCTTCCGCGGTTTCCAGGCTTTCACTTTAGCAGAGGGCAGAGAGTCTTGCGTCGAAGTATTGAAGCAAAGAACCAGCATTGATTGTATGGCTGGGTTCCTCCAGCCCGGGTACCACTGATCCTATCCCCGAAATTCGCATCAATCTGCCGCACCCTCAACTTCTGAGCTCTATCCCTCGAGTCCGCCTGTGCTGGTCAGGCAGCCGGGGATGATGAGCTAGTTATGGTCTTCGAGCAGTTCGAGAAAGCTAGAGCAGCGTCTCTTGGTGATATTGCCAAGAGTAAAGCACTTCCAGCTGGCTTCGCATGTTTTGAACCATAGCTGGGTCGTCAGTACCAAGCCTCCGCAGTGAGAATACATGTCGTTTGTCGTTCGCGAGTACTACACATGCTTCAGCCGAGGCTCTCGATCCAGCACAGCGAAACTGGGCATAGCTTCAGCTAGTCTGTAGCTATCAACCTTATGTAGACCTGGACGCACGCTGCATGCCCTATATTCCTGGTCTAGGTCAAGCAGACCTGTTTTGAATCCCGAATGTTGCATACTCCCTGATGCCTCTTACTGTGTACGTAGGACACGTGCAAGAAGGAGATGCTAGGGCGTGACCGACAGAAATACAGAAAAGAGGAAAACCTAGGTCCGTTTAAGCATTCAAGAGTCGGCGGACGTGCAAGGAGGGGAACAAAGGCGTGCCGCAAAGCAGTTATCGGATGTCGGGCTGTCTCGGCGACCGAGGGCTAATCCTTCACCTGTCATATCAAATCCGCTGTGACGCAATTATTTGTGAGTCTTTGGATTCTTTGCTACGAGGGGATTTAGCGTCTGCTCGTGTTCCTGCTTTTTTTTGGTTGGTGGGTCCGTGACTGTACCTGCTGGTATCTGTGTTGTGACTCCTTGTCTGTGAGGCCTCAGTGTATACTGGTAAGGTGCAGGAGCTCGTCTGCGTCTTGGAAATTGCTTTGCATCCTGCGTAAAGTGTGTGATCAATTTGGCCAGCGTGTATGTGGTTTAGTCAGGTGGAGCAGGAGCGCATCCAAGCAAATGCAGGGTCACGCAGTGGGAGGGGGCACCCGAGGCACCGTTTGTTCTACGTATAACATGTCTGCTCAAAAGCCCGGGGGCCACAGCCCACAACACCTTCGTTTCCAGTGGAGTGGGGTACCCGAGTCTCTTAACACCTACTTGCTTTCCGAAATCGGGGAACCCACCCACCTCACCCTGAACAACAGGGGACAAGTCACTTTGCACAGCCGAGCCCGTCCACAGAAAATAGTGGATGGGGTAGCGCACCTGCGCGGGGCGGGAGGACTGCTCCCGCCTCACACCCCGAGCAAAGCAAAGAGAGACAGACTCGGACAGAGGCGTAGCACTTGCGCGCAGGGGTTGTAGGGTCCGTCCCTGCACCCCCACACGCCCGGCAAGCAAGCAAGAGAGAGCGCGCATTCGCGTGAAGGTGGTGGGCCGCCCTCTGCCTTGACTGCGTGCAAGCAACAGCGAGAGCGAGAGAGAGGGCGGCGAGAGCGAGCGAGCGAGGGAGGGAGGAGGCGAGGGGGAGCAGGATAGAGGGAGCAGGCGAGAGAGCGGAGCAGATTCGGAGAGAGAGGGAGATGCGCTGTATGTATATGTTTATCGACTATCTACCTATACACCTATCTACCTGCCTGCCTGCCTGATCTGCCTGCGTGCTTGCCTTCTACAGTTTATCTGTCTGTCTCGCTGTGTATATACGTTCGGCTCATGATTTGTTTGGAATTTGGAACCTATAGCCATGTCTCTTATATAACAAAACATATATGCACCTCTGCATACGGCATGTCGTCATTATGGGATAGTAATCTTATCTCTTCGTTCATTATACTCTTCCTGTGGGCTCTCTTTGTAAAGTAGAACTTTTGCTGCTACGAATGCGCATCCAAGCGAGCCGTCGCTGGGATCGGTCGGCATCGAATCATTGGAATAGCCGAATTTTTTCACTAGAGGCTCGGGTCAGATCTAGATGGGGCACTGCCTCCAAGCATGACTCATGGTGAGATCTCTTGCCTCACTCAGGAGATCGTGGGAAGCGGCTTGATCGCATGGACTCAGTCAAGCGGCAGCTGATGTCCCCATGGTTATGCATCTTTCGCTTCAATCTGAAATTTGAGGGTGCTGAACACATCTGCCAGAAAATTGCCAGCTGCAAGGCTGCTATGTGGCGATCTCGACAGGGGAGGATTTGGGCCAACCTGACCCTCCTGCGCAGTGTATGACGTGTCCATGTTACACGTTTTGTATTGCTTCCGAGAATTACGAAGCTTCTTGCTTCTCTCCGTAGAGCAGCGCCGAGTCACTCGCGAGTTTCGGTGGGAAGTGTTGGGGACTCTCGGGGACATGTGCTCCGCATGGTTGCCCTGTATATACCCAAGGATGCAATGGTCAAGTTGGCGCAGCAGATGATGGACATTGCATGCCAGGCTGTGCAAACTCGCAGCAATTACACACCATGAGCTTGCTCCCATGAAGCTCTGCCGTCTGTCTGCCTGTGTGTGCAGATGCCTGTGTAAGTGTATGTGTACTGCATATTGACAGGTAGCTGATATGCGAGCACATTCAATGTCCCTCGTCTTTCTGCCGGCCTGCCTGCCTGGCTGGCTTTCTGTCTGTCTGTTTCAGCTCCGCGCTCCCAATCGTCGAAATGCCCACCTAACCGACTCGTCTTGAATAAGTTCTTGGGCATATCCCTCGTCGATCAGCCCCAATGCCAGCCCTTGTGTTGCTTTCTCTTGTCGTTTATTCAGACTCCAACACCTGTTCCTTGATCATCATCATCATCTCATGAGATCATTCATCCAATGTGCTTTTGCTTCCAGTTCCACCGCGAATCTACATAGGCTCTACACTCCCTACCTTACCCGAACACGAAGTCATGGGATCGCAGCTGGAATGAGCACCAGCAGGGCCCGGTCCACCGCTTCAATTCCCGGATTTGCTTCGGTAAGCGAGCCGGGCCCATCACCAGACCCACCCCGGCCAGTGCCACAGATGTCAGTGTCACGGAGCAGCCCCTTCTCGGAGCCACCCAATCACTTGGGGAAGCCCCATAGCAAAGCAACATAGTTAGAGAAAAAAACCCGAGCAAGCAAGGCTCACGACCCGCGATGTGGCTAAGATGCTGATAATGCGAGTGAAGCTTGCTGCATGGGTGGAACTCCTCGCGATCACCCCTTCACCACTGTAGGCGTACTCGGTCGGGCCCTGCAGATCGATCATCAGCGGGATGTCAATCAAATAGCTCGGGCAGCTTATCACCCACTGACATCCGAGCCAAGTGCACGCGCTTGCGATCAAGCGACTCGCATCGGCAGGCAACTCTTCCAATGTGCATTGGCGTCCACTCAGACCCTTGGCTGCAAGTGCAGATCTCATGCGAGAAAGATTCATCAAGTGGGACCCTCATGACAGTGCAGCTTCACCTTAGTAGCTCCATCAAACTTCATGCTGTAATCCCATGCTTGCAGTGTACAACGTGCCTTCGCATCGTTTCTGCCCTGACTGCCTCCGCGCCGTATGTACTTTCCACTGATCTGGAATTGCGAAAGAGCCAGGAGCACAAAGTCAGGACTTAGATAGTCAACGGGCGAACTTTAAACTTATGGTTGTATATATATACATATATTAGCTCTATCTTAGAAAGTTTGAACTTTTTTGGGCCCGGTTGTTGAAGAAGAGAGAGGAAATCAAGCTCTAAGCTCGGCGCAGTGATTCGACTTAGCCCCTCTGCAGCCCTGGTCAAAGCCAGAAGCCAGCGATTGGAGTATGCACGGGAGACAGACGAATCACGTTGTGCTGGTTCTCATGGCGGTTCGCTAGAGACTGGACAATCAATTCAATCCGAGGACACGACTATTCCGGTCATTGCGCGCAGCACCTCCAAGCGTGCTGGACATGCGGACGTGTTTTTCAGTTCCACGGTTCAGGAAGTTCCGGGACTCAACAGCTCAGCATCTGGCGCACCTCAGCGAGACCAGCTTGGGACAGTAATTTGTGCCGAGGCCAAAGCTCTTTGCGATGAGGTGCCTTGACAGCAGCTCCTCAGGATTTCGCAGCTTCATATGCCACTTTGTCGAGGCTGCTGACAACAGGATCCTCGTGTCCCGTGGTGCCAGATGTCGACTTAGTGCAGATGTGGAGGCCGGTGACGGGTTGTGTCCAAGCGCGAATATGGGGAGAAGCGGCCCGGGAAGGCCGAAATGCAAAAGTTTGGCTTGCGGCTGCTAGACGGTGGACAGCACACCTTCAGAGACAAGCTCCGCGGACTCAATCACCCGATCCATATAAGTGGTTGGGTTCATGGATCTAATCCAGGCATGTACCTAGTAAGAATGACGGATATGACGGTTTGCGAGAGGACCTCTGTCTGGACAATTTCAGAGATTGGGCTCCAGGGCTTCGTGTGCCAGAACTCATCGCTGTGCGATGTGTCTTCGCTTGACTCCATGGCTTTCCCCGATCAGCTCAACATCACATGAGCATCACAGGAGCTTTTGTTTCCGTAGCACGGCAGCGAGACATGTCGCGGCTGTCTGCTTACGAGTCGGCTTGATGCGATGGGCCTAAGGTTCTATTACTTTGCCGACAAGACTGAGGCTTCTGCGTTCCAAACTGCACAGGGCTCCACAGTTGTTCTGTTGATTCTTGCTTGGCCGTAAGGTTCCTGGTCGGGCGTCTTCCCCACTGCGAGCGCAGCGAGCGCTGGTGGGACAAGAGGACCATCGCAAAGAGGAGGAGAAGGCGAAGGCGGCGAAGGCGAAGACGTGGGGGGGGGGTCCGTGGCGCTTGTGTTCGAAGGGCATCGAGGGGCTTCTTCTGGCACTATCCGCCTGACAGGAGACAGTGCAGATACCGGATCGGAGCCATGTCTGCATCCAGAGCTGCACTGCGTCCCTGTAGAACATCCGCAACACCGACATCAAAAAAGGAGGAAGCAAGAAGCCTAGCTTCCCGCATCTGCGCAGCCTCTACGGGCTGTGTAAGCCAGAGGCCTCCATGAAACAGGCTTTGTGTTTTCCTCCCAGCCTAGGACGGTTTCGCAGCTTCAGGAGGACCAAGTACTTGTGGAGTTGCGGTCGTATCGCAGTCACGTAGTCCACACCATGAAACAGCTTGTGGCGACGCTAAACTTCTGATGGTTGTTGTGGAATTCGCCGGACAAGTCTCCAGATGAAGGTCGTGTAAGCATCCACATTTAAGGCTACAACAGCTTGTGGCGGATTGGCTCATCATCGAAAGTTTCGAGTTGCCGTGACACTGTGCTGCAGGAGCTTATGCGGACAAGAGTCGGCATGCAGCAGATGCAAGCCAAGCAACGAGCATGAAGTTCACCTCACGTTTTATGTTTCGGTTCTTTATGAAAGACTGCACAAGAAAAAACAGACGTCCCCGAACCGAGGCTGCTCGTGGCCGAAGAGCAGGCACGACAGGCCAGACTCGAATCTGGATCGCTGAGACAGCAGCTTCAGCAGGCACCTTGAGGGATGCTTTGGGACTCGGCAAGCGCTGTCGGCTTCGCGTTGTCGTCCCCGAGCGTCCTGTCGTGGCGGTGGCAGGCAGAAGTTCAAGCGGCACAAGCGGGCCAAGCGGGCCAGGCGCTTCCTGGCAGCTCGATGTGGAGCTCAGTCGCCTGAAAGCATCATAGGACATCTTGCGGCCTAGAGAGCCCACGGCATGTCGCTGTCTCCGAACAATAAGGACCTGCCGTCCGAGATCAGGCGTTCAAACTCTTCACCGGCATCAGTGCTGTTTCTGCAGCATTTCGCCTGGCATGGGAAAGGCTCTCCCTGTGTGTCCGTGGAGTGCCTTCGATCTTTCGAGAAGCCGAGGTGGCAGAATGCCCATCTGCAAGCCGAAATCCGTCAGTACCAGCAGGCCTTGACGAACACCCGGTCCGAGCTGCAGTGCCTAGGCGGCAGTAGATTCTAGAGTCGAGGGCAACTTGGGGCCTGGGATGCCGGCACCTGTTCTTCTCCATTTTCTATGTTCTTCTCCGAGGATGCAGGTCTTGGCCGCGCAGCTGATGGAGTCCAAGCACCAGCTGCTTCAGGCCCGAGTCGAGCACCTCGAGCTGGACCTGGGCTTCAAGGCCAGGGTCGCCTCGAAAGGCAGAAGCGGCGGAACCGCGAGTCAGAAGTCTGTGAGTTTGTCTCAGCTGCGTACTGGCGTGCTCGCTCCTCCAACATGGCGCATGTTAGACAATGCTGCTCTCCGTAACGAGGCACTCTACGGAACCATGGGGCCGCTCGGAGTGAGCAGAGAGGGCTTCGCAGGGTTTTGTTGTTCTTGCACGCAGACGATAACATCTCAGAGCATTAAGAGTTGCAGTAGCTGCCTGTGAGTCGGCTCGGGAAGTGAACCATAGCGATGGCGGAGCCAAGGAACCCAGACGATCTCTTCGCAGATTTGCCAAAACTGAACTACAAGGCACCCGGCAGACTGTGTTGCAGACAGAACTTTAGGCTAGGCATGGCTGCGCCTTCTGGTACCGTCTCTATGTTCCGCTTAGATCGCTCGGTCTTAAGACCTCCCCAGAAGAAGAAGATGTCAGCTCGAGAGTGTCCCGCTTGGCAGGGTCTTCAGCCCAGCCCAGGTTGTTGTCAGAGACCCCCAAAGCGTGGGCAAAATGCTTCTCACAAATTTGCAAGTTGGAGGACTTGCAACTCAAGCAAGTTATACTGCGATGTGAGGCGACTGATGCCACAGCCGACCCTTCGTGGCTTTGCTGCAGTCACAGTACAAGCCGAACGCGAAAGCATCAACTTGGTTTCTGCATCTCGGTTTGAGGCTGGCATCACTGCCGAAGGACTTCAACTTCCCCGGCTTGGGCTCTCCGTCTGGGCTCGGCTCAGCATTCGAGGGCATGCCACGTCCGAGCCCTTCTGCCGAATCCCGTCACAGCTATCGTTCAGCGTTCGCTCTACAGACTCATGCTTGAAGAGAGTTTCGCCAAACTTTGGACAAGGTCTGGACATGGGGCTGCCGTTTGGGATGGCAGGCAGACCAGTGCCGTCGGACGCTGGCGAAGGCGTTCCTCTTGTGCCCGAAGGACAATCGATGCCGCCTCTGAGCGGGCTCTCTGGCCTGGTGGGCGACGGCATTGCTGGCCTTCCCACAGGAGGGGCTGGGCGGCTCGAGAACTCTGTCCAAAGTCTTCATCAAAGTGCAGGAACTATCGGCACGACGTTGGGTGTTTCCCTTCCGGAGTCGATGCCATGAGAAAGCACCATGCCGAACCCTTTAGGTTTGCATATGCTTGGATCGAGCACGGTCGCAATGTGAGAGCGCTATTTATTATTTGTGATATCGCTACTTGTTGTAAATGTGGTCATCCCTTCTCGGACATAACATCTGGAACCGGGTGTTGCACGCGTGTGACACACTGCACCTGTGAATGCTCACAGTAGATTGCGTGGACAGATTGAGAGAAGACTCGAGTCTTGTCTGATCGTCTCCGCGAGATGCCTCGTCACCGATGCAGCCGTCTCACCCTGCCCGGCATCAGCGTCGGGTTCGACATATTTTCGGAGCCATGCCAGCACGATCTGAGCTGCGTCGGTTGGCCAGAAGTTAACGACTGCGCGGACCACTTTTCCTCGAATGGTTGCCGCTGCTGCTAGCATCACGTACGCAGAAAGCGTCGTCGCATCATGAAAAGAGTGTTGTGCAGCTGCTGCCTTTGGACGTTCTCAAGGTTTTGTCGGGAACGAGCAAGCATCTCCTGATACCTTTTGTATAAGAGCTTGTGCGGAAGTGCTTCCGCTGCATTTTCTGGTCTGGATCAAGCATGCCTTGACACAGCCTTGTGAGTCTTGTAGTTAGTGCAAAATTGTCCAGGGTCCTAGATCATAAACCATCGGTAGCAGGCACATTGCATCGCATTGAACGCTAGCCTGGCACTGGACTGAGCCCCAGGCCGAACCGAAACTCGGTCGACAGATTTCTGGGCGAGCCAGAGCCATAAGTGAATAAGTGTACCCGACTGCCAGGCTTCGAGTTTTGGGGATGTCTGCGCAGGGACTGCCAGCGCACATTTTGGCACTCTTCACTCCCAGGCAGGGTCTGCTGTGAGCAGAGACCTTTGAAATTGATTGCTGTGGCAGGCCCCCGCCGCAACATCTACCACCATGCGTCGTGAAGCCCTTGATTAAGACCTCGGGCTGTGCAGAGCACCTTGCCTGATTCTCTGGACACTGTGCGCAGCTTTCTCAATCAAGACGCGATATTTGGAGGCAAGCGGACTGTGTAGCATTTCCGAATACAGCGGACTACGTGGCTGTATCTTTCCGTTAGATTGTTTTCTGTTGCTCCTTCGTGGGTGTGTGCCGTTGCTGTTTCATTGGAATTGCTCTCGGAACCTGGTTAATGCTGACTCGTGACCGCTGTGGATCAGCCCCTAAGCAAATCAGATTACTTGGGTAGTAGTCAGAATTGCAGGAGGAAGAAGTAGTAGTAGTAGTAGTAGTAGTTGTTGTTGTTGTTGTTGTTGTAGTAGCAGGAGCAGGAGCGTTAGTGCTAGCACGAGCCGGACGAGCGCCAGTGCTAGTAGTGGTAGCTTGGGACCCAACTGGGTGATCTCAAGCGGAGGCAAAATTTGGGCTCCAGAGAGCTCGGGACCACCTGCTGTTAAATTGGGCTGCGCCAAATTGAAATTCCAAAGTTGAAGAGAAGCAAAACAGCTGCCTCCGCCTCCTGTAACTTCTGTGAAGGCCCCCCCCCCCCCCGTTGCCGGGACTTCGAGAGAAAGTTCGCTTCCGCGGCTCTTTGAGTCCGGCCTTGAACCTCGAAGCTTCGGTGCGTCGCAGGCGTCTAATTCGCATTCAACGGCAGGAAAGAACAAAATCTCGGAAGAATTTCGAGGCGGGTTCTGAGAACGAATTTACGGATCTTACGCCTCAGAAGTCAGCGTGCATCAGATTGTCACTGGGCACAGAATGGCAGCATCAATGCAGGGACTTTGCACAGGCTGCAGACATGTTAAGATTGGGGCCGCGCTTCTTGTCAGCAAAGGTATGTCGAGTTCTTCTCAACAGAGCCTTCTCAGCAACCAGATCCCGACGTGTGTTCAGTAGTACCAGCCTGACTGGCACAGCTCGTTTCTGTAATTCCAAATAGAGGAACCTTGGAAAGCACACGTTGATGAAGCCATTCCGGATGATTGTTTGTAGTATTGTCTGTCTTCTCTGGAATGATTGGCGGGGCCGAGAAGCGAGCCTTGAACTCTGCAAGGATCCGCCGCCACCAAGGGAACCATGGGAGTCTCCGTTGGAGCGTAAAGCCAGAAGGCATCGAGAGAAGGCGAGAACTCTCCCGCTGAGACTGAGCGAGACTTCAAGAGCGGCTGGGACAGGTTCAGGCACACAAAGCTGCACAGAAGAAGATCATCGACACCTATGATCCTCACAAGGACTAGTGGCTGGTGCTGGCTGTGTCAGTGTAGTGGCGCTTCCGTGCAAAGTCCACCTGTCGAAGGACGCCAATGCAAGCGGTGATCCCTTTAAGACTCTCTTTGTTGGCCGCATAAGCCTCGCACTCAGGCCTTCAGGCAAGCTTGTTGGGAGTCTCAGAAGATGGCTGACGTGGCTGAGGCTACGACACGACAGAAAAGAAGTTGAAGCGAGAGTTCGAAGTCTTCGGGAGCATCAAGAAGGTTTGGCAATGGATCTTCTCCTACAGACTCCCACTTCTTCTATGCACAGCACCTGGCAGGTTCGCATGGTCTACGATCAGAAGGGCAAGCCGAGAGGTGCGAGCTCAGGGCGATTTGTGACGTGCGACAGCCTCTATGTAGCAACCAATTCCAATTATGCCCGCATGGCGCGACGAGGATATGCATTCATTGAGTTCGAACATGAGCGCGATCTGAAGAATGCCTACAAGCAGGGCGATGGCAAGAAGATTGACGGTGGCTCCGTCGCAAGTGATGACTTACGGTCCGGCGAGCATTGTGCGAGTTGAAAACTACGGGACAGACAGAGAAGCGACTGTTCCAAGCATGTTTGAAGTTGTCGCCATCAGGTCGCCGCGTCATGGTGGACGTGGAGCGTGGCCGCACGGTTGAGGGCTGGCTTCCGCGCAGGCTTGGTGGTGGACGCGGACCTGGTCGCCAAGGCCGGGATTGGGATTTGGACCTGAGACGATTCTGGTGCGTCAGTCAAAGAGAGCTTTGAGGCAAGCCTTCCAAGAAGAAGCAGAGGACCTGAGTGGCATTGAAGGTCACACAAGAAAATCCCTTTGAAGCAGTCGTATTTGCAGGAGGCTCGCGGAAACCACTGAAAAGCTGAAGGAAAAGGAGAAGGAGGAAAAGGCAGATAAGAAGAAGGACAAGGAAAAAGACAAGGACAAGGCAAGTTGGTGCGAGCAGCGTTTGGCGCAGGGCTGCATGGTTCCAGCAGAATGATAGCCACGTCGTTCGCCAGATCCGCAAAGCTTTCGCGCGTCATCTGTTCGTTTCGACATAGGCTACATACAAAAAGTGTTTCCTGCAGCATCTCAACCAAAAAGTGCCAGGCGCCAGGCAACAGCTGAGACTGAGGGAGGCATGACACATCCATGTTTGAGTATGTGCTTGGAATATCCTTGTAAAACCAGTTCGATAATCGCAGTAGATGGCAGTCTCCTGCAGGTAGCTGTTGCCTTGGTGTTGCTAGATTCAACCGCAACGACCACGTACAGGAGCATCAATGCCACTACTGAGCCTGCACTCGAATGCGTGTGCATGGCTTAGGTTCTAGAAGAACGGATACCGGGCAGAGGCATTCAGCAGCGTCTGGCAGGAAGATGACGACAAGAAAGACAAGAAAGGAAGAGACAAGGAAAAGGAGAAGGAAAAGGAACGCGAGCGAGAGAAGGAGAAGGACAAGAAGAAGGACAAGGAGAAGGTGCCGCCTTGTAAATGCTCGTTTTCTGAGCAGCATGCGAGAATCCGTGGTTCAACCGACTTCTGGCTTCAGGAGCGCAAGCGCGAACGCTCTCGTAGCCGCGACCGCGACCGCAAGAAGTAGATCTTGAGAAGCAAGGGCTGCGGCTTGGCTGCATGGGCACGTATCGAGCTGCCGCTGCAACATGTTGGGGCATTTGGTGCTGTGCTTGATTCTGGTCAGCACTTTTTCCTGTGGTATTAGCAAAGTTTTGAGACCAGGTTTCCACAGTCAAGCGGTATCGGTATGAACGTATCCAAATCTTCAGCCTGCTCATCCCGAGGTTTGATCCTGGAGGCTTGCAGCAGCCACCGTCCGAAAACTCGTGCGGCACTCAGATGATATGGACCTCAGCCTGAACTCCTGGACCACGTCCCCACATCAGTTCCAGGTGGATGGAATGAGGGTAGATCGCACGTTTGCTTAGACATTTGCTCGCATTGGCTCCTAGGTGCAAGGATGCGGTGAGTTGGGCTGCGGCCTCCTCCGAGAAGGCTCTGTAAGCCATAGAAAGGGAAATCGCAACTAAAGGGGCCAGGTAAGCTAAAGCCGACCCAGACCCTTAAAAGCCTCCCCAGAAAGTAGCACCTCATAAAGTATTAAGCCTATAAGCCAGGCCAGAGTGCCAATTCAGTTTCTGCTTGTGGGCAAGTTGTCGGAGTCAACTGCCTATCTGCCTATGGTCTAGGACCGCTTACGTCTCGGAGCCGACCTCGTGCCTTGAGGTACAAAAGACGTCCTGATCTTGTCTCTGACTGTGGTTGTTTGAGCTCTGCCGTCCCTTTCTTCTTGCTAGGGCTTGGGCATCGCAGACCCATTTTATTTGCTAGCGGACATGCAAGTCAGAGATTTAGGATGCCCAGAGATTCGCCGAATCATGGAGGCTTAGCTTCTCCCATCGTCGCCAGACGACGCTTTGTACCTCGCTTCTGCAACATGGTTAAGCGCACACGATGATGGAGCTGGCTTTATGTCCGGCGTCTACGATATTCTCTCTATCCGAAATCCCGCGATCAAGGACGTGCCCTGCTCACGCTTGCATGATTTGCGGCAATGCATCGCGGACATCAGCAAAATGATTGAAAGGAGCTCTTCCGACTCCGCGTTGGGCGAAGGCGTGCTCGCATGCCCAAAGGGCAATGCGTAGTTGCGACCTGAGCTGCCGCATCAATTGTCGAGCTTCTTCAGAAGACACACTGCTTCTAAAGGTGCGAGGTCGTCAGATTGTGCAGTCTATTTCGGAGCACTTCAAGTTTGAGAAGGCGCCAATGCTGCATGCCCACGTAGCAAAGCCATCGCCAGTGCACAGGTCTTCACACATGAGTCGCGAGATGCAGCCAGCTACAATGCAGCACCTGCCTTAGAAACAGAGAGTTTAGTCGGCCGCAGATCGGAGAGCCCTTGCAAGACTAGGGCCAAGAGCCAAGAGCAGCGTTGCAAACGCGTCTTGAGCATGCAAAGCCCAAAAGACACGCGAGAGGTCCGAGAAAAGGTGTTCAAGTGTGAGCAAACGAGGTCTCATATTAGGCACAACTGATGGTGCTCACTGGGTAGGTCAGCCGCATGACAGATTGAAGCTAACCGAAGAACAGACTGTCTCAGGACAAAGTTATTCGCACTCCAAAAGCCGTTCTGTGCAGAACCCAGTGCTTGCCTTCGTATGGACACCAATCATAGCAGTCACCAGAGACAGCAGGCAGCATGTGCTCTTCGGTGCGAAGGCATCAAGCCTTTGAAGTTGTAAGATTTACCGTTTTTCACCGGTGAGCGGCCGGTGAGGCACCTTCGCAGACCTTGAACGACGGGGATCTCGTTATAGGCTCGCAGTGAAACGATCTCATAATCACATGTCTCTGGTCATACCGAGTGCCAGAGGACAAATCAAGCAACCCGAGGCAACAGAAGAGCCGTGGTCCAATTGCATCGCAATGAAGTCACATCCTTTGCAGCCGCTGTGGTCCGAGTGTTGTCGAGTCAAGGTTCGAACCTTCGCCGAGATGCTTGCTGGCAGTTGACAAGATCAAGCATCCGGAGAATATGGGTTCCCCCGCGGATGTTTATGACTGCCAAGCCACTCTCCGAATGCCAGCTGCCGCATTTGCAGCAGGTCTCTTGCTGAGCACTGCCGTTGCATTGAAGTTCGATGGAGTGGTGTTCAGCACCGAATGCTGCTAGGCTACACTGCTACACTGATCAGATTGATGTGCCGGCTAGGGAAGCACAACTTATGTGAGGTGTGGATCCCTTCTGCTACAAGGTGCTTGAAGCTTCCCAGGTTGGGCTGGAGTCAGTGCATTCGCCTTTGTAGCACAGCAGCACCTGATGCAGGCAGTTGCGTGGACGTTGTGGGAGTCTTAGCCGGCTCTTGGCCTGACTGTTTCGACCTGTGCTCAGAGTCTCAGAGGCCATACAAGAGCTTTGCCACACCGCAGCAGCTGGTGGAGCTTTGTGACAGGCAATTCCGAATGCGGCATGTGTAGCATGTCTCATGTCAACCGCTTGGCTAACCCTCCCCGGTACCCATAACATGTTGTGTCTTGACTGCGGGGGCAAAAATCAACAGCCAAGTTTTCACGCCCTGCCAATGCCTCAGAATGGGGGGGGGCCTGACACGCCCCTGGAGCCCTAGTGGTTGGACGTGTTCGGGGCGAGCACTTCTCCTGTGCAGTTGGGTGCGTTTACTGCGAAGCCGCTTGGGAGTGCCCCTTTGATTGGTGCCTCCCACCAGCAGTGTGAGACTCGAAGCAAAGCAGGTTGGTGGTTGTTTCGTACATCGTCCGTGTTGCTTTTTGTCTGGCCTCCCCCCAAGCCTTGCAGCCGGTACTGTAAGTAAACCAGATGCTGGGCGACGGTAGTTCAACTGGGGCTAAACAAGGTCGTGTTACGTTGCAATACGGGGAGGGACGTCTTGTGATTTGAATCTTGTGTAGCCTACTCTGACTCTGTGGGTCCTGGTCTTTGTTGAAGCCGGTTGTGAATGTTGCATATTATGTCAAGCCAAGAGGGCAAGTTCCTCTCTGTAGATGGGCTCCAGCTCTCGCCCAAAGTCCCAAGCCACCTCTGCTACAGATTCTGCGTGTGTCGGTTCACATATGACGAGCCCTGGAATCCATCAGGCCGCACCTTTCGAGACTGACAAAACTCCTCAGCACTACAATGCAGAATCAGACTGGTGATAACAGTACTAGTAGTGGTGGTGGTGGTAGCAGTAGCAGCAGTAGTAACAGACCGGCCAAAAGCAGGCTGCCACAGTGAAGTGAAGGGGACAGTGCCGAATATGTGTTGGCTCTGGTGCCTTTCGCGCCGAGACAATGTGGGGGCTGGAGCCAGCTGAGCTATGGAAACCGCCGGCTGCCTGCAAAGTTCGCATAGGATCGGGGACGGAGTGCAGGCTGGGGGGTTCAACAGGTTACGTGAGTTTCACGTCGAAGCGGATCGCTGAACTGGCCTATCGCGCCAGAGCGCAAAGGTTTGGACCTTCCTCAACGCATTGGAAGGATGGAAGCAAGGAAAAAGAAAGAGAACGTCAAAAACAGCACGGAAGCGCTGAAACACGGAACACAGCTAGATCTTCCTGCACCCTATCGACTTCACAGGCGGTTGACACACTTTGAGGACCGATTCGTGGATTGTAAAGAGTTATTGACGCCTTATCTCTTGTTCATCACTTCTTCGACCTGTGACAAGACATTGGTTTCGTGTGCAGTTTTGCTTCCAGGCACCAGCTGCTGCTATGTGCCGCGCATAAAGATGGCAACGTGTTGTCGGAAGTGTCAGAAGCTGAGGCACGGATTCAACCCTTCATCAGGCCAATTACGATGTGCTCGCAAGCAAAGGTCGCAGCTCTCCAGCAGCCGACGTGGTTTTTGCCTGGTTGTAGGTACGCTCCATGAATTCATCTCGTTCTGTTTGGATAAGCTACGGATCGCACAGACTCAGATGGTCATGGAAGGCAATGAGGCCGACGGCATTCAGGCAGAGCTTCTCAGCCGCTGCACGAAGGCGGACGTCTCACAATCAAACGATGCTGCAACATCACGTAAGCGGGACATCATCTCAGGTGGCATTACCCATGTCAGAACTGGTCGAGTCCCTCAATGCGGGAGTCGTGGCAAACCTAGTTTGCTGAATGCAACCGCTGACCAGCAAGAATTTGCAAGTACCGTGCTGAGGCAGGTGGAATCTTGTTGCATGCGCTGAGTTGCACCTGGGCGCAGCAGTGGAAGTAGCTGCGCGAGCCTGATGCTATGCTTCAACCTGATCAAACTCAGCTCATGAATTATCCAAACCACTTTGCGACTTCCCAGATCAAATATGCATTGCTGACTTTTGGAA